CCAGTAAACAACACCCCCCCCCCCCCCCCACCCCCACCCCCACCCCCACCCCCCCAAAAAAACCCAGTTGAAGAAAGAGAAAGAGATGAAGCAATAGTAGCAAATTAGAAGGTAGGACAGTAAACAATAAAAATTGAAAAGGAAAAAAAAAAAAACCCCAACATGAAGAAAACCCTAACAAAAAGGCGAAAATCAAATAGGAACACAAAATTACCTACCGTGAGTTGAAACGACATCAATTTGTGAAGAGGGTTTGGAGAGAAAGGCGAGATGAAATGGGTTTCTCTTGATTTTTAAATTGTGGGAGCGAACAAATGCACGAGGGTAATAATGTTTTGGGTGCGAAAACAAACGGAAATTGAAGTTATTATTAGTGGTAAGAGATCGGAAATCCAACAAACTGCGGAAGGAATCAGCCATTGTTGCTACTAACAAACGGGTTGACTCAGTTATATTGGTGCGTACTCGCAACGAGAGAATTCTGGGAGGGTAAACATTGTAATTATTGATATTTTTGGGGAGATTTTTATTTTTTATTTTTGCTAATTTTTTGAGTATATATATGATTTTGTGTGGACGGCGAAAAATAGTGTTTGCAAGTGGATAAAATTTGGTGGGAAACTCAACCGTCTTTACCTCCGTTTTGGAGGTGATTTGAAGAAGCAAAAATCACACTATAATCAAAACATAAATAATGAGGTTGGTTTGGTTGTTAAATAAAGATTAGTTAAATATAAGATTAAATAATTTTAAAAATAATTATTATTTTATCGGATCCGTGGAATGTTTAATACAAAATTTTCTTTAGACGAGATAAGTTACGATAATGTAATATTTGTGGATTGAAGTGGTAAGTTATTGAGAATCTCAAATATCAAACAAAATTCAATTATTTAGTTATTAATGGCAATTCTTCATAACCAAACGAGGTATAAGTTTACTGGACTATGCTCTTTGAGGCTTTGTTAACCGTAGGGCCATAAGGGTCGATATGTGACACATTATATCGAAATTAGCATTTTTGAGAGAAAAAAATTATGTTCAATTGAAGGTGGAAAATCAATTCCAATTTTGTTTTCAAAAGTTTGGAAAAATTGAAAATCGGAATTTTGAATCCTGTAATTTAAAAAGAGTTGTTCCAAAATCGGAATTTTTTAAATCCAATTGTAGAAATTTGGAAATTTTATTATTCATAAATGAAATTCGGATAGAAAATTGAAATCATACATATATTTCCATTTCGATCCAAACGACGTTAAAAGCCAGAAACAAAATTGATTTTTTTGGAATTCAAATGAAAATTAATATTCCAAAATTGAAATTTTTTGAACTACGGTCGATGAAAATCGAAAATTTTAATTCCAGTTTTGACCCCCTGATGCTATATGTGATTCAACATGCACATGTTACCCCACCATGGTAAGCTTTATAAATTAGCACAAACTAACATTATTGAAATTTGATCTAATTACAAAAAATTAAAGAAGTCCATTAAATTTCTAAAAATTAGAAAGACCCTCTTGAAATATTACAAATATTATTTAAAAAAAAATCTAATTTTTACCCAATTAAAAAATTCATAATATTATAAACACACAAAAAAAATAAAAAAATAAAAATCCAAGAACCATGAATTTCCTGACCACAAAAGTTGAGTAATCCACGTGGAAGGTGTGGATTGACTGATTGATCTAATTGGTCAGAAATCTATCCAAAGAGAGCTTCGTAATCCGACGTGGCACCCCACACGACTCTCCTCTTGATTCCCACTTGAACAGATAGATCATAGATAGCCTGCTTTAAGTGCAAACTTTTTCAGTTATATTTCTCTTCACATTTTGGCATCCAAAAAAACTAAAGTGTCAAAAAACAAAAAAAAAAAAAATATGGCATCCACATCTGCTGCATTGGTTAATGGCTTGGGATCCGCCTTCTTGACCGGTGGCAAGAAGAGCCAGGCATTGTTGTCCGCCCCCTTTGCCGCCAGAACCTCCGGTGGTGCCGCCGCCGCCGCTCCCAAGAGACTCGTCGTTGTGGCTGCCGCCGCCAAGAAGTCTTGGATCCCCGCTGTCAAGGGTGGCGGCAACCTCCTCGACCCCGAGTGGCTCGATGGCTCGTAAGTACCCCTTATTGTGTCTACTGGACATTTACTCGTAAGTATCGAGACTGTATATATTTCACCGGATGTAGCATATTTCTGACTATTTACTCGTAACTACCGAAAGTGTGTTTAGTGTCAGTGTTAGTGTGTCTACTAGACATTTACTCGTAAGTACCGAGACGTTATATATTTCACCGGATGTAGCATATGTTTGACCATATATGAGTTTTGCAGGCTCCCCGGCGACTTCGGGTTCGACCCATTGGGACTCGGAAAAGACCCGTCTTTCCTAAAATGGTACAGAGAAGCGGAGCTGATCCACGGACGATGGGCCATGGCGGCAGTCCTCGGCATCTTTGTCGGCCAGGCCTACAGCGGCATCCCCTGGTTCGAAGCAGGAGCTGCCCCGGGGGCTGTGGCCCCCTTCTCGTTCGGAACCCTCCTCGGGACCCAACTCCTCCTCATGGGGTGGGTGGAGAGCAAGAGGTGGGTGGATTTCTTCAACCCGGAGTCGCAATCCGTGGAGTGGGCCACCCCATGGTCCAAAACTTCGGAGAATTTCGCCAACTCCACCGGCGAGCAGGGTTACCCCGGCGGCAAATTCTTCGACCCGTTGAGCTTCGCGGGTACCCTCAAGGACGGAGCCTACATTCCGGACGACGAGAAGCTCGACAGACTCAAGCTTGCCGAGATCAAGCACGCCAGGCTGGCGATGGTGGCTATGCTCATCTTTTACTTTGAGGCTGGCCAAGGGAAAACTCCCCTTGGTGCACTTGGCTTGTAAAAAATGGTGTCTTTCAATTGTGTAAAAAAAGAATTTTCCCAATCAGACAAAAAAAAAAGAGAATCTTGAATCTTGAATCTTGAATCTTTGCAACTTCGTTTATTCCTTTGTTGATCGATTTCTAACAACGGGTTTAGCATAAATTAAACATGATATTCAAGAAAATCGGATGTCTCTTACAAAAATGATGAATGTGATCAATCTTAGAATAATAGGTAGCCACAAGAGGTTTTGATCCATGAAAATACAATTAAAGAGAAACATGGGGTGAGACGAGAAAAAAGTTGTGAGCCGACGATGATTATTTGGGGGTGCGTGATTTAACTACTGCTGCCCATAGCCATCAAGAATTCACCCTCGCAAACGACTTCGCCGCCTACGTAAGCTTTCCCTTCCATTTTCGCTATTCCGAAGCGTTTTTGGAGCTTGACGAGGTTCATTCTCATAACCAAGGTGTCGCCTGCAATCACGGGCTTTCTGAATCTTACTTTGTCCACTCCGGCGAAGAAGAAATTCTCGCGAGAGCCTCCCACCTCTGGCTGCAGCATAACCAAGCCGCCCACCTGAGCCATCGCCTGTACAAAAAGCAGTTAACACATACGGTCAAATATAATTAATTCACTATAATCAGTCGAGCCCTCTTTTCGAATAATCAAGAAAACGGCAAGCGAATAACTTTTTTTAACTAGTTCAATATTAAACGCGTGCATCTATGCATATTGCTTACATCCATAATCTTGAATTAGCCGAGCATAACTGCATTAGTGTAGGAATTAGCCAAAAGAAAAAATTCAGCTACCCGACAAACCTTTGAAACCTTTAGCGGAGTCCTAAGACACGCCTCGTTAGAATTATATCCTTGATTTCATTGCCCTAGGATTGTAAATTAATATAGTTGAACGAACAGCTCGTGATTCGTAAGAAACTTTGCAACTTTTGTAGATGACATTTAGACTGCAAACTTATATCGAACGTTGCGAAGTCCTCATTAATACACCAAACATAAGCTACAGATTGGAGGTTTTAGGTTTTCACTTTTACCCCATTCTTGAAAAAAAACTCCAACAGAAACCCTATATCGAGAAAGTTTTACAAGGGAATGCGTACTGAAAAAGGTAAACGATGAATCAACCACAGATTGAAGGTTTCACGAGGTTTTTCACATATCCATCCCTTTTAACTTCTATACAATCAAGCATTCATGTAACTTGCATACAAATAAAATGACCAAAATACATGTCATCATTGCACACAAACTGCTCGATAAAATGCCTGAGAGATGACAGAGAGACATATCCATATCGAAACTCGAATTGCAAACGTATAAAAAGTAATATGACGTATGAATGAATGATGTACCTCAACCATGAGCACACCAGGCATAATCGGCCTCTCGGGAAAATGGCCGGGAAAGAAATTATCATTTATAGTCACATTCTTGATAGCCACAGCCGACACGCCGGGCGTGTACTCGATCACTCTATCAACCAGCAAAAATGGAAACCTACATCCCCAGCAACATAAAAGAAACAAACCCCCAAAAATTGAGAAATCGAAACCGCATTTTAAAATTCAATCAAGCATTGCATTTTCGATACTTTCACTAACCGGTGCGGCAAAATCTCGCGAATCTGGTTGATATCCATTACCGATGGAAATGCAGGGTACCCTGAGAAAAAATTACAAACACGCAAATGCTCAGAAATTTAATTTCAACCATGAATGCGAATTAAAAAAAAAAATCAATTTTCGGCGAATCTAGGGTTCTTACTCAGTTCAATTGGGATTTCCGCGGCGGCGCTGTCGTCGTCGGCGGCGGCGGAATTGACGATGAAGCTTTTGTGGGCCCTCTTGGAATGAGCGGAGAAGAGATGGGATCTGGAGAAACGAAGAGGTTGTTTGATGGAAACGGAGAGGGGAAGGGCATTTTCGAGGGTTTTCTTTGAAATTGGGGATGATGAAGAACTGAGAGGGGATAGCATAGATTGCGATAGAACTGCGGACGCCATTGTTGAACGATTTCGAGCTTGAAGATTTATCTGAGAAGAAGCGAACAAATGCAGTGCTTCGCTATAAGGAAGAAAGGGGGGGCGAGAAGAACGAGGGGGGGAATTTGGTTTTGGTGTTTGGTTGGAATTTGCAGAGTAGAGATTGAACGAGTGAAGTGTGACTGTAAGAAGTAGGCAGACGGAGAGGCCAAGAACAAATTTTTATTATATTAAAAACAAATTTAATAATATATTTAAAATCACAACTATTTAAAAGGGTAAATTACGGCCACCGCCTCGAGGTAATGTCAAATTACGAAATATCACTTATGTTTCGGTAATTACACCCAACCCCTCAACTATGAGTCTTCTTACACGTCGACTCTTATGGAGCCAAATTCAACAGAATCTTCTGCATTCCGTGGACTATTCTCTAGTTTGTATAAGTTTTGTGCAAAAATGCGGTTTCTGATGCACCACAATCTGATATTTACAAACTAAGAGACACATCTTATGATCGTCTTGTTTTTCAAAATGTGGAATTCGAATGGGGGTCAAAATGGATACGAGCTGGAGAATATTCCACATAATCTAGAAAATTTTATCAAAATTGACAACGAAATGGTGGACGTGTAAATAGATTCATACTTGAGGGACGGTAGTAATTACCTAAACTTGAGGGGTTTCGTAATTTAACCTAACTTCCCATACTTGGAACAATTTATATTGTATTTCCGAAATTTAGAGAATATTTTGAAAAAGTTGGTAATTTTTTTGAAAAAAACTAGGGGTGAGTAAAAAAACCGAAAAACCGAAAGACCGCGCCGTTTCAAACCGTACCGAATAGCCAACCGCATGTACGGGTTTTTATTTTTGAAATACCGAATTATTCGGTTCGGTATGGTGGAAAGGTAAAAAACCAAACCGAACCGAAACTATAAAATAACTTCATTTTATATAATATATGTATTATTTTACCCTAATTTTTATTTTCTATCTTTCAATTACTTGTCTCATTCTAAGCATTTGTTCATAAATTGAGACATTGTATTTTATTTATTTAGTAACTAATAATTTATTTGAGTTCATAGTTTTAATAATGTGGTAGATGAAAGTAGGAAAAAAAAATGGAGCATAATACATCATCTAAATTACGTTAAGTCCTATGGAATTAAAGATTTTTTTATTTTCATTGCATTAATAAGTTGTGAAAGTAATTGTAATTGTATTCTTTTGTTTGTACAACTTGAATATATAGTTACTTTTGAACCGAAAAATAACCGAAACCGAACCGAAAAAGCCGAAACCGAAAGAAACCGAACCGATAAAAAACCGACATACACGGTTTTTAATTTTACAAAAACCGATATATTCGGTTCATGTTCGGTTTTAGCCAAAACCCGAACCGAGGCGTGCACACCCCTAAAAATAACATTTCAAAAAGTAAAACCCTTCTTTCATTAATGATCAATAATGTCAAGGGGCAATTCGGTCTTTTACATAGGTAAGAAAAAGGAGTTAAATGCAAATACACCCCCTGTGTTAATTCTAAAGACCAAAAACCCCCCCGGGATAAAAAAAGTGACAAAAAACCCCCTGACAAGTGTTCAAACAAGCATACTCGACCCATTTTATTTTTATCCGTTGACCGCTCGTGAAAAGACGAATAAACCCTTGGATAAATCTGTCCAACCACAAAAAATTTATGACCCAAATGAAGTTGTTAAAATTTTCAATTCAGTCCCTAATACTTTCAATTATACCCTCTTCCCCAATCAAAAAAAACACACAGACACACAAAAACACACACTTTTTTTTTTTTTTTTTAATTCTCTGCTCACCTCACTCACCCCACCCCACCACTATCGTCGCCGGCTCCGTTCATGGGCTGAAACCTCTCTCCGGCAACCAAGCTTCTCAACCCCTATCCAAAAAAAAGTCAATCAACGAAGCCGGTAAGGAACGGAATTGACAAAATTCACCAGTGACAAAATAAAACTTGATTCAATTTGAGACTGCGTCTCGCTGCTTTGAAACACTTCAGATCATTTTGATCACCCATGGGAGAGAAGATGCAGGTAACGCTAGTTGTCGACTTTGACCGGAGGTCGAGGGGGTCCTTAACCCCATCTTATCACTCTTAGTACCAATATTCTGATGAAGAGGTGGATGTTCAAACCCCAATTTGAGCAAATCGCGAAAACTAGGGTTCTTCACCACTGCAGATTACCGGACATAATTGAGTGAAATTTGTTTCAAAGCACTCGTGTATACACTCCCTACATGATTCCTAAGAATTTAGAGCAAGAATTTTGGTGTAAGAACAACAGCAGATCAAGAGCAGAGGATGATGGGTGGGGTGGGGCAGATTGGGTTGGGAAGAAGATGATGGGTGGCTTTGTACGCCATTTTCATTTTTTTTCTTCTTTCTGAATATGTTTAAATATAATTTATATTTTTTTCATTTTATTTTTTTAAATTTAAATATTATTAAAAATTCATATTTGTATGCCATTTTTTTTTTTTCGTTTTTAATATGTTTAAATATAATTTATATTTTTTCATTTTATTTCTTTAAATTTAAATATTATTAAAAAATTATGAGTAGTTTAATTGTTTCATGAGTGTTGATTCAGAGGGCTAATTTTGTCCTTTCACGCATAAAATGTACAAAAATCACACAAGTAATCGCACACACAGCGAGTGAATGACACGCACAAAGACTAGGGGGGTGTATGGCTTTGACTATTGATTACAGGGGGGTTTTTGTCACTTTTTTTTATCCCGGGGGGTTTTTGGTCTTTAGGATTAACACAGGGGGTGTTTTTGCATTTAACTCTAAGAAAAAGTAGTGGTGGTCCAATACACTGCACACCACCCCCCACGAAACTATACTGAATTTTGCCTGAAAAAATTATTCCCCTTCACCGGAGCGGCGGAGCCTCACCGATCTCCTTCACTCCGGCGCCACCATGGATTTCCACCTCCGCGGCGGCTCCCCCTCCTCCTCCTCCGACGACCACCGCTACCCCAACAACAACAACAACAATTCCTCCCTCCAGCCCACAAACGGCCACTCCTCCGATCCTATGCACTCCTGGTGGGAATCCATCTCCAAAGCCCGATCCCGCATCCACCTCCTCTCTTCCATTCTACCCCCCTCCGACGATGGCGGCGCCGGCGGCGAAGGCGAAGACCCTCTCTCCTCCCTCGCCGACACCGACCGCCCGGCCCGCTCCCTCCTAATCTCCTCCGCCGCGTACACATCCATCTCCGCCGCCCTCTCCTCCCCTTCCTCCGGATCCGGCGAAGACCCCCTCTGCCACTGGCTTTACGACACCTACCTCTCCTCCGATCCCGACCTACGCCTCGTCGTCCTCTCTTACCTCCCACTCATCTCCTCCATCTACCTCCACCGCATCCACCACCCGAACTCCGACAATCCACTCTCTCTCTCCGGCTTCGAAGCCGTCCTTTTAGCCCTCTACTCCTCCGAAACAAAAGCCCGCAACGGCAAACCAGTCACAATTTCCATCCCCGATCTCACCCAGCCTTCTCTGTATCACACCCCCAGAAACCCTAATAAACCTTCAAACCCTAATCCCAAACCCAGCAATCCCTTAATCGGGGTTGTATCCCCTCCTCTGGAGCCACAAATGGCTGTTAAATCCACCAAGCGTGCTTGCATTGTTGGGGTTGCTCTCGATTGCTACTACAAGCAGATTTCCCAGATGCCGATTTGGTCAAAGTTTGACTTCTGCAAATTCGCCGCCCGTTGGGCCGGTCAAGATTGCCCCTGCACCTCAGATTTCGACCGCAAACCGGAGCATTTCGTCGAAAAGAATAACCGGTTCGAAAACGAAACTAACGTCGGCCTCGAAGAGATCGAAGACGAGATCGAATACGTGGCGGATAGAGTTGGGAGTTTGGATATCGAGGTTCATAATTATTCGTCTTCGGAAGTGGGAGAAGAGGATGTAAGAATTCCTCTGCCGTGGGAGTTGTTACAGCCGATTTTAAGGATTTTAGGGCACTGTTTGTTGGGACCGTTGAACGCCGACGAGGTGAAGGATGCGGCATCGATGGCGGTGAGGCGTTTGTACGCTAGGGCTTCGCACGATCTTGTCCCGCAGGCGATTCTGGCGACTAGGAGTTTGATCCAGCTCGATAGGCGGGCCCGCGAAGCGGCCAATGCTGCTGCAGCGATGGTGGTTTCCAGCGCTTCTGGTTCGAATGCAAACACTCCGAGTAAGGCCAAGAAACCCGAGATACTATTGGTTTCCAAGTGACGAATGATGACGATGAATGCCGTTACTATCAGTGTACGTCTGGTTTCTTAACTTCCTTTCTTCGCCTTTCGATTTTGTTGAAGCGATTTTATGTGGTTTTGTGTAGATTTATGGATCTGACTATACGTATGATTACATTTGTTTGTATTAATGGTTGTGAATGTGTTAGATCGAAGAGATAGATGCCTCCCGGTGCTGTGTAAGATTACGAACCAATTGTTGAATTTGAGTTTTTGTCTGTTTTTGTTTGAAATGCTATCGGTTCTTGTCGTAAATCGTTGTGCACATTGCTTTGTTATTTTTTGTTCGTGTAAAATACACGCGTATTCGGATATTCTTTCTGTAGAAAAGCTAAATAAGCTCGACACACTTCCCTCATGATTCGTAATATTCTTCAGCTTTACATTTACGATGTATGAATTGCAAAATTGTATAATTGTCAATGAGTGAAGTGTTTGAATCGAGATTGTATACTTCGATTTTTTTGGCAGTTGTAAGTGATTGTGTTGTTTTTCATCCTATTCACCACTCGGTAGCAAGTTTTGGTTTCGTTTCGTGTAGGAGAAGCCCCTTTTTTTTTTTCCCTTGCTGCATTTGAATTGTGTGTTCATTTATCGGCTTAAAGCATACACTTCGATTAAGAGGTTACTCTCTAGAAAGTACGAAAGATCGTTAGCTATTACGGACCGATTGTATCAGTCGATGGTTCCTTCATATACATACCTGTAAGAATAAATTGGAAATACATTCTTGAAGTTTATAAATTGGGTAAATAGCACTTAAGCCCCCTCTGGTTTGAACTTTGTGCACATGACCCCTTGTACTTTTAATATCAGCACATAACCCCCCTGTAATTTGAACTTTACGCACATGACCCCCTTATACTTTTAATATAATTGCATATGCCTTCTGGTATTCCACTTGGTAAATAATCATGCTCATTAGAAAGAATTTTTTTTTTTGAAAGTATTAGGGAGATATGTGCTTAGATTCGAAAGTAGGGAGGTTATGTGCTATATTGAAAGTACAAGGGGCCATGTGCACAAAGTTCAAACCACAGGGGAGGTAAGTGCTAAATTATGATTGTTGAGTTTTAATCATGTGAGTGTTTTTTTTTTTTGGTTCTTTGCTTCTCTTTGATATAAGATTCAAATTTCAAACTCATGCTTTAAACATTAAACTTACAGATTAACCATAACGATCGCTTGATCGATCAACGATGTATAAATGCTCGATCAACGAAGTATAAATACATACTCCATGAACAATTTCGTAAAATCTAAACAGGAAAAGAAAAAAAAAGGGCGGGAGAAAAACATTTTACGATCTTCGTCAATAATTTCTCCACCACTTAATTAATAGCAGAGCAAACCCTACGAATTTCACCGTTAGTCCCCGTCTTGACTTCAATATTACTCATCTTCACCATCGACCTTCCGAATTCGACGCTGAAAGTCAACCCCAACAAACCCCTCACCCCCAGATACCTCTGAACAAAAGTGTTGGTCGAGCTATCGGTCCATAGTTTCTGATCCGATTCAAGAATTCCACGGCCGTTCCTCAAGTTGGCGAAGTACGTGTTGTCGAACCGGTTTTCGCTGCCGTTGTCGAGCCCTATCCGGCGGGACCCATCTCCGCCATCCGGACAAAGTGCCCGGAGTGTAGGAAGAAATGCGGCAGCGATGGTGGGGTCGGGCCCACCGGTGGAATTGAAATTGTACAGCCTGTAACGGAAGAACTGGCAGGCGCTGGTGCCAATGGTATGCCCCCCTTCAAAAATTAAAATCAGTTTAGATTTTTCTCTGTTTTAGTTTAATTAAAATCTTCATCATCAACTAATTTCCATAATTTTGATAATTTAATGTAATTACAAATTAATTAAATGTATTTAATTATGTGATTGTGTCTAAATTGTAGATGGAAACTAAAATCATTAAATTATGTGTGCTTACCAGAAAGGGTGACAAGATCTTGAGTGTTGAGACCTTTATCGAGAAACTTCCGTTTCAGCGAATCAACGGACTCCGTAAAACCCGGCAAATTCGACGTTTCACTCGCTAACGATACGAGCCCGTCTCTTCGCCCCGTTGGCACCGCCCAACTCGGCCCACCAGCCTGCATAAAAGAAAAAAAAATTAAAACCTCTCCAATTCCAAAACTCCATGCGCGCGCACACACAGATATGTATATACAGTTAAACTTCTATAAATTAATACAGTCTGGACCATAGAAATTCTATTAGTTTAGCGAATTATTAAATTATCGAGTTAATAATTTAACACGTTTTCACGGATTCGGGACTGGGAGAAACTATTATTTAATCGAGGTTAGTAATTTATCGAGGTTCTACTGTATGGGTTAATTACCAGCACAACGGAATCACGGGCAGCAAGAGCGAGAATGTCGGCGCACGAGACGACGCCGGGGCATGCAGTCTCCAGCTGGCGCTTGGCGTCGTCGATGACCTCATATCCTCTGAGGAGAAGATTGGGGCCCGCGGTTTTTTCGGTGCCGGCCCCATCAATGAGGATGGAAGCGTCGCAGCCCTGAACGAAGCAGTCGTGGAAGAGCATTCTCAATAGCCCCGGTGCCACCGTACGGTCGGCGTTGAAATGCGTACGGACGGTGGATTGTACGATGGACTCTACGCGAGGACAAGTCCTCGCGTAGAAAGCCAGCCTCGTGGCTCCTTGCCCGGAGGACAAGCCCGCGAACGTAGCAACTAGTAACAAGAACATTGGAACAAGAAGTTGTTGATTCATGTTATGAAATGCCATAATTGTAATAAAATTAATTGATGATGTATATGTATATGTATATGTATATGTGTGTGTGTGTGTGTGTGTGTGTTTTGTGGGTTGATGGAATGAAGGTGTTAGGGTTATATATATACATGTGTGTGGAGGCAAGTGGAAAGTGGAGTGTGGGACAGTGTGTTTATGGAGAAGAAGTAAGCAAAGACGGCTTTGAGGAACTTCGCGTGTGGTGAGTTTTTTTTTTGGAGGGCTACAATTCAAAGATTTTTAATTTCTTTTTTTTCTTTTTGTATTATTGGATGATGAGTTGGAAAGTGAAATTGCATTTAATTATTTGGTTCGATTTGTCTTGTGCTTATCATATACTACTCTCTGAATCGGATTTTGTTTGTCGTTTTTTGTTGCTGCGTGCATATTAAAAAAATCAATAAGTGTGAGTATAACTCAATTGGTTATGGGGTTAGTAAGTTGATGCAAGGTTATAGGATCAAGCACGGACAATCGCATTATGGGAATTTCAATTCCAATCAGAGTTGGTTACTTATGGGGACTAGGTTCTGGTCCGCTACCCTAACAATCTGTTGATGGTAATTAGTAGCTAAAAGTTCTATAAGATGGTAATTAGTAGCTAAAAGTTCAATAAGAATAAGACAATATATTATATTGATCAAAATATAAGATAAAAGACTTTTTCTTACAAATGATGGAAGCCATTGACAAATGTTGACACTTGACAGCTTATAAATTTTTGTTTTGGATAAAGAGGACAATGAAATGGTGGCATTGGATGTTTTTTGACTCCTGTGGTAGGGGGTGGGTGAATCAAGAAAATTAGGTGAGATTATTTTGAAGAATACGAGAGCCTCGGAAAATGCTCGATAAAAATAATTAAACGTCCATCGGCGAAGTCAAGATTTTAAGAACACGAGGGCCAAGTGGACGTTCAGATAAACTTATACGAATATAACATTTGGGTGATTTATAACTAATATTACATTTCGATAAACTAATACTACATCACAAATTGGTTATATACGATAATTTCTAAACTTTATATTATATTTCAGTGATTTAAAACTAATTTGTCTTTGGATCAATTGTAGTATCGATTGGATATATATTCTCCGTTTATTTGATGCAACACTCTGGTGATTCATAATTGTTGATCTGCACATAATCACACACTCGTCCATGTATATTTTTGTATACAACAGTGATTATTTAACCAAATCAATAATTAAAAATCACTTAATATATATAACTCGGTGCAGTATTTGAATAACCTATATACTCATATATCACACATTCGTCATTTTGAAATAATAGCTGAAAATACAATTTAAAGTATAGTCTAGTTAGATCAAAACTCTCAATCAATCAATCAAACTATTTAATTATTATGTGGGACAATCTAACTTCAATTTTAACCCAACACTTGCTCGTGCCCTAGAAATTTAATTTAAATAAAATGAAATAATCATTTGTCTAGCGAGTCAATAAAGTTATATAGTAAAACATATTTAATAACGGTTTCTTCTAGTAGCAATTTGTTAATTAATTCATTAATACATAAACAATTTTTAATAATTGATTAAATGTTTAAATTATTTCAACTAAACATTCACTAAGGAACCTAATACCTTGTCTAACGTCAATTCCAAGACACTTTTTGACTTGTTCTAAATGTGCTCCACTACTGAATTTTGACTTTCGATTGGAACCAAATTACTCTGTCTACACATGCACGTTTTTTTTCCCCTAAGTTTACTAAAATATTTATATTTAATAAGAGGGATTTGCATATAATTATATAAGGGCTGCTAAAATAGATACCAATTCCTTTTCAGTTTAACACTTTGCAATTTTTGCTAGGTACATGTCGAAAAAATACGCAAAAATTTGACATGCAAATTTCGAAAACAATATAAAAAAAAAAATCAGATTTCAACGAGTACATGTCGAATTTAGCTCAAAATTCGACAAATACAGGTCGAAAAACACTTGCGAAATCTCATGTAAAATTCAAGCAAAATTTGACCAAATCAAGGCAACCCTTCAACAATTAATCAAAACTCAATCCTTAACTACCTATATGTACTTGATATAAATGTATTGAATAAACATATGTGACAAGCTTATTTATATATAGATATCATTGATAAAGAGATTATAAATTTATCGAGCTTGAAACTAAAATAACAATAAGAACACAATTTAGTAAAAGAACTATTTTCACTTTTTTTTTTCCTTACCGTGGGGTTTAGTAGAGATTATAAATTTTGATTGTACTAGAAAAACTTCATATAAATAGTTCTAAAATAAATTTAAAATTAAAATAGCTTAAAAATATATATATTTTCTTATGTCGGTCAATTACATAAAAAAAAATAGAAAATATATGAAAGTTTTATTATATCAATGAGTTTTTTTTTTTTTTTTTTTTTTTTTTTTTTTTTTTTGGGGGAAATTATATCAATGAGTTCAAGATGGAACTAAGCCCAAACAAAAATTGAATTTCCGTTTTTTTTTCCTTTTGAATTGGGTGGGAAAAAATGCAAGAAATGGATAATTTAAAATGTAGGCCCGGCGGCCCGGTCACATCTGGCTCCGGTGGCCTACATCGCATTCCAATTTAATTTGGTATAACCGCGTTTGGTGAATTATTAACTTTGACAAGTACGCGCAGTCATCAAGTCAACGTTGACCCTTCATTATAATATAATTAATCAAAGATATCATTAGGCCTCGTTTGGTTGGCAAGATAAAATTAGCCAAGATAAGATTACATAGTCTAATGAAACCTAATTATTTTTTTGGAGCTTGCAATTGTCCAATAAAAAAAAACACACTAGAAGACAAGATAAGACAAGAAAAGGCAAGATAAGCCATGATTACATAATTTTTGCGGGTCGACCCGGCAATTATTCGGGATACCAAACATCAAATTAAGTCCAACTATTTAGTTAATCTTGGTTTATCTTGGCAACCAAACGGGGCCTTAGAATATAACATAATACTCCAATTAAGTTGTCGTTTTAATATTAACGCACATCAATTAAGAAAGTTTTCGAAAAAAATTTGATTTTAGAAGAAACAACTCCTATTTGATAAAACTACCGATTTGCGTTTTTCAACTTCTCTTTGTTACTTCATTAATTTGTCATTGATATTGGAATTAAAATTGGAGGAAAAAAAATTGTCCTACATTGAAACTCTAGAGTAACACTTAATACTGAAAAACGAAAATTATTTGAAAAGACACTTAATAAGAAATGGAGGGAATATTTACTATACTGTTGTCTAACTCTTGCGATTTTTCATTCGATTGATGTGATTTTTCTACAATTCAAAATGTATTTTGCTTTAGAGTATGTTCAAAAATAAATATAACATCTCATTTTAAGTAGATCAATACGTACATGAATTATAAAAAAAAAAAAATAAGAAAAATTTAATTATGAAATTTTACTAGTTAAAAATATTTTAAAAACTTACTAAGAGATAAGTTTGATTAGAAATGATGAAGCAACTAGCTAGCAAGAAGATTCTTTTATTATTCCACAAGAAAGAATAATACACATATATGTAGGTACTCAAGTTTCTTCATCCAAAATAAGAACACATTCAAGAAATTGGATGACAAATTAAAAATTAATAATTGTGATTTAAGAGCAAGCTTCTGAATAAGTAGACACTACAAAATCGATACGATCCCCGACGTAGGTAAAAACGTTGTGGTGCTGGTCACTAGAAAACCCCAAAGATTCACCTTTGTTCAAGACACAATCTCCCTTCAATTCGCCGTTTTCGCTAATGGTGTAATGATCGTCGTTGGTAAGCACTATTGCATCAAATTTAGGGCATTGCAGATGCACCCCAAAAAGGTAACACTCGCATGTATTCGTGACGTTCACCTTCCACTCCTTCGTGCAGCCTGCGATCCTTCCTGTCGGTGTTTGGACGACCGTAATCGTCTCCTTAGCACATCTTGGGTTGAAACTACTATCACCTTAAAGTACCAAAACAAAAACATATGTATATATAAAGAATATACTTTTTTTTTTCTGGTATTGTTCTTTAAAAATATCACGTTACATAATTAGTTGAAGCTCAGCGCGGTTACTTCAGCACCACTCATTTACAAACAATAGTATAATATAACATGTGTGACTTAATTTCATTTGATGTAGCATAGATTTGATCTGTTCGAACGAAAAATACACGACTAAATAACGAGATAGAAGATGTATGTGTACCTTTGCCAATTACAACAATGGAAAGAAACACAATCAAGCAAAGGGCTCTGGTAAATTCTCCTCCCATTTCCGAAATTAATTAATTATCTCAATGCACAACAAAAGATTGATACTAGCAACTATGCAACTCTATTTATAGACTTGTGCATTGGTTTTATTTTGGTAAGTCTAATAAAAAAATATTAACATTTTCGTAATCCAATTCTAAATATTATGTTTTGTGCTTTCTAATAATTGTTCAATGTTTTGGGCTTCCTAATAATTGTTCAATATTTTGTGTATTGAATATTAGTAATCTATTTAATATATGGAAAGTGAAAAGCTCTTGATCAATTTCAATAGTAATCTATAAATGTAACCACAATTCAATATAAATATCTGAAAATGCTCATTATCGCAACTTTTAAGTGATTTTATTTCTTTTTTAAATTGAAATCCCCAATTAGTTTTAAATATTTCAAACCCCAATAGGAGAGTTTAATTAGAAATGATGAAGCAACAAGTGAAGATTCAAACCTAAAGAACATAATTCATATTGATATGGTACTAAAGCTTCTTCATCCAAAAAACATATTCAAAATATTGGATGACAAATTAGGAATTTAATTAGAGGATTCTATGATTAGGAGCAAGCAATTGAATATGAAGACACCGCAAAATCGATCTGATCCCCTATGTAGGTGAAAACGACGGCGTGTTCAGGAAAATTAGTACTCAAAGGCTGTCCTTCCTTCAACAAACAATCTCCGCTATTTTTGCCGGTTTCCTTAATGGTGTAGTGGTCGTCATTAGTAAGCACTATTGCGTCAAATTTAGGGCAATGCAGATACACTTGGTAAGGGTTGCAACCGCATGAACATGTAATGTTCACCTTCCACTCCTTTGTACACCCTAAGATCTTTCCCGTTGGATTTTGGAGGATCTTGAACTTTTCTTTAGGGCATATATTTAAGTCGTTGGAAGTACTTGAACCTTAAAACACAAAAAATAAAATAAAATAAAAATCATACATACATATAATTTATATACTCGTTTACGAAATTACATATATATTGATTTGTGTAAAAGAACGAGTATGCATGATGTATCATTTGTAAATTAGTTTCACTAGGTGCAGCATAAAATTAACGTGTTTGATGGAAAAGTACGCGATTAATAAAACTGATAAGATGAAGATACCTTTGCCAAATAACAAGGGAAAGAAACACAATGAAGCAAAGGACTTTGGCAATGGCTCCTCCCATTTTCTAAATTAATATAATTAATATATCTCAATTAGTGAGTGAAAATCCCTAGCAACTATGCAAACTCTATTTATAGAGGAAACTTGTAGACGATATAGTATTGCAACATTTTTTGTGCATTAATTATTATTTTGGTAATCTTATTCTAAAAATTGTATTTTGGTAATCTTATTCTAAACATTATATTTTGGTAATCTTATTCTAAAAGTTATATTTTGGTAATCTTATTCTAAAAAATGTATTTTGGTAATCTTATTTCTAAGAATTATATTTTGGTAATCCTATTCTAGAAATCATATTTTGCAAATCCTATGTTTATTCAATATTTTTATGCATTGAGTACTAATAATCTATTTAATATATGGTATAAGAAAACATCTTCATAATTAATTTCAATAGTTGCAATTTTTGAAATGTTAAAAGGTCATTAAAATTATATTTTATTGTTCGAGTAGAAATTTTCGGTTTGAGCGGATGAGGAAAGCAAAATATATCCCGTTACGGACATGTTTCGTTATTCAAATATCGGAGTTTCGGAACCTAATTATAATGTTAATAAGCATGCAGACTACCTTGGATTCTCAGAAGAAATTTCTTGTTCCTCAACCACATTGTATTCTTACAACTGTAATCTCAAAGGGAATATTCCTTACAAATCCCCCCTAAAAAAACAATCACTATATCACTAAAAAAATAACTCCACCTCCATTTTCTTGCAATGCTCTGTTCAAACAACTCCCTCACTACTATGGTAATTTCCTCCACTTCCTTCATTTCCCTACTCTTCACCGCTGCCATTCTCGCCTCAAACGTAAACGCCACATCAGCGGAAGATTCTAGTGGCTTCCATGGGTACGAGAGGGACGCGCTTTTATCCCTCAAGGCAGGCTTCAACAGCTCGTTTCTCGACACCAATTGGACCGGCATCATGTGTTACATGAACGAAACACCGTACTGGCACGGCATCCAATGCGTAGACAGTCGAGTTACCGGCGTAATCTTGGAGAATATGGGAATCTTTGGAGAAATTAAGGTTGATGCCTTTGTCAACCTGACTGAACTATCAAACCTCAGCTTCAAGAACAATTTCATCACTGGGAATCTGATGGATTTCGCAACTAATCCAAAGTTGAGAAATATCGACTTATCCGAAAACAGATTTCACGGTGAAATACCGTCATCTCTTATATATATAAATTCCCTTGAATCCCTTATTCTTCATGACAACAAGTTAACCGGTCCGATTCCGGGATTCAATCAATCCACGTTGAAAACATTCAACGTGTCCAACAACAATCTATCGGGGGCAATACCAGAAACGAAAACCCTTCAATCTTTTAGCCCTTCATCGTACGCTGGTAACGAATATCTATGCGGCCCACCAACTCCAACGCTTTGCAGATCAAGAAACGATTTATCTGATCAATTGAAAAGCGAAAACTCGAGCGAAGACAGTAACCACAATTCACACATCGAAGCTATTATGATTGTAGTTAACGTAATCGTGCTAGTAGTCGTTATCTTCCTACTCATCATATACTATCTGAAATACAAGAAGCTCAAGAAAGTGGCGAGGCCGAAAAACATCTCGCCGAAAGACGAAGAGGATCGAGAGAGTGATCAGGTCGTGGAAAAGGGGAAGCTTGTGTTCATGGATAACAATGGTAATATTAATAACCGGGGAAGATTTGAGCTCGATGATCTGTTGAAAGCATCGGCTGAAGGATTAGGCAGGGGAAATTTCGGGAATTGCTACAAGGCAATGCTGGAGATTGGGGAAGCTGTGGTTGTGAAGAAGTTGGTGGATTTGAAGCCTTTGAGCAGCGACGAATTTTTCAAACAGGTGACGAGAATTGCTGGTTTGAAGCATCCGAATTTGTTGCCGCTTCTCGGCTGTTACTATTCGAAAGACGAGAAGCTCTTCTTGTACCGATTTGCAGCCAATGGAAATGTGTACAATCGACTCCACGGTAAAACCCTAGCGTGATTTTTTCTTGCTGAAATTGTGATAATTAGCCATGAAGTTTAGCTAATCGGTGTTTATTTATCGTTAATTAGGAGGAAGAGGAACAGGTGGCCGAGTCCCCTTCCGGTGGGGGTCACGGCTCGCCGTCGCACGCGGCGTCGCAAGGGCGGTGGAGTACTTGCACCTCAGCGCCGCCAGATCGCCAACCACCGCCCCACACGGCAACCTGAAACCCTCGAATGTTCTCCTCGGTGAAAACGATGACGTTCTGGTCACCGATTACGGGCTGACCTCGCTTGTCGCCGCCCCCATCGCCGCCCAGCGGATGGTAGCCTACAAAACCCCCGAATACCAATCATGTAAGAAAATTTCGAAAAAATCCGATGTCTGGAGCTACGGGAGCCTGCTTCTCGAGCTACTGACCGGGAGAATTCCGGCGCATTCGGCGCCGCCGGGGACTGGCGGCATCGACCTCTGCGGGTGGGTCAACCGGGCGGTGAGGGAGGAGTGGACGGCGGAGATTTTCGATCCGGAGATCGCGGTGCAGAAGGATGCAAGTAAGGGTATGCTGAGGCTGCTGCGTGTTGCGATGAAATGTTGCGAGAATTCGCCGGAGAAACGGCCGGAGATTAGCCAAGTGTTGGCGGAGGTGGAGGAGGTGGAGGTTGCCTTAGATTCGGAAGACGATGAGCTTTCGTATTCGTCGTTGGATCGATCTGCGGCGACGAATGATTCGTTGTCAGCCACTTCGTCGGTGGTGATCGCCGATGATCGGAGATGATTTTTTTTTATATTATTTGTGTTCCGAGCAAAATAAATTAACTCACATAATTCTCGTAATTTCAGCAAATTATATTTTGAACACTTTAATCAAAATAAAAATGATTTTTTTTTTTTGAGTTTTCATATTTTTGGACTATTAGATAATTCCCGCTCATTTTCCGGTAATTTGAATCGGCAACAGTGGATAGTTCATGAATTTATTATAGAATGGACTTAAATTTTCAGGTGTTCGCATATAGTATTCATGAAAAAGAAAATTAGAACCCGGTTTGCATAAATTAGGATATAATCAGAAAATAGGAAAGAAGAAAAACAAAAGAAAAATTTTAGGAATTTTTTTTTTTTTTTAATTAATATGACTTTTGAGTAGTGTAAAAATAAAAAAATTAAGTAACATAAATAAAAATACATGTATTTAAGACGGAATATAGCTGAGGCATGAGGGTGTCTATTGTAATTGCACAAACAAAAGGGTTTTATCGTAATTTATCCAAAATAAAGTAAACAAAAAGGGATCATTCTGCAAATAAAATAATATTTCGTATAACATGTGCTGAAATTCAGTGGGACACAAGTGTAGACCATGAGTCCAAATCCTGATAAATAAATAATTGAAGGCTCAACCCATTGTTTTGGGATTTATTTTCTACCTGGAAAACCCCAAACCAGTGGGCAATAATAAAATAATAAATACTAAATAATTTCACCTTATTATTGTACCTGGGTCATTAAATAAATAAAAGATAAAGAAAAAGCCCATTTTTACGGATGTGTGTGTAGGTGGATAAAGTGAGATCACCCTCACCCGCACGTGACCTGTGATGATTTGGATCATGACCATTGTACCCTTCGCTTGTGAAAATGTTGCATGTAATGCGAATTGAATTTTCTAAAGTTATCTCGTATATTAGTTACAATTTAAAATAAAATTATTATTTATAATAGCACTGAACACGTAAATGTGTCAAACTCTCAAATATATACAATGCGAAAATTGAAGAGCCACTAAATACTTACACTTAGGGCTCGTTCGGTTACCGCTCTAAGGTTCTACTGACTAAATAGTAGGGGCTAATAGCATGTCCGGTTGGTAAGATTCACATTTTTTCAAACCCGCTACTAAATTCAAAGCCCGCTATTAAATGCTACTATTTCATTAAATTAGTAGCACCCCTCCCCCTGAGATTAATTTAAGGGCAAATGGCAAAAAGGCCCATCACATGGGACTTAAATGCATTTTAGTCCACAAAAAAAACAGTCCCTCAATTAAGCCCATCCCCATGTCTTTAGTCTAAAATACCCTCAATAATATAATTCTTAACAATTCCACCCATTATGCTCTAACTTCCTTAATATTACACATTGACCCCGGATTTAAACAAATATATCACATTAACCCCCAAAACTTTTTTTTTTCAGAAAATAATTTTTTTTCTGAACTGTTTTTTTTCCGGCCAGATTCCGGCGTTGACCGCCGGAGACCGCCGGTCTCCGGCGTTGACTTTTTTTTTTTTTTTTTTTTTTTTTTTTTTTTTTTTTTTGAAATTTTTTTTTCCTGCTTTTTTTTTCCGGCCGGTCAACCACCGTTGACCGCCGGTCTCCGGCGTTGACTTTTTTTTTTTTTTTTTTTTTTTTTTGAATTGTTTTTTCTTAGAAAAAAAATATTTTAATTAATATTACTGTCTTGACTACTAAATTACTGTCTCAGACAGTAATATTACTGTTTAGGACAGTAATATTATGAATATTATTTTTCCGAATAGTAATATTATTAATATTATTGTCTAAGACAGTTAAATTACTGTTGGAGACAGTAATTTAACATCCAAGACAGTAATATTAATTTAAATAAATTTTTTTAAGGAAAAAAATTAAAAAAAAAAAAAAAAGTCAATTAACAGTTAAGTTACTGTCTCCGACAATTAAATAACTGCTGGAGACAGTAATTTAGCAACGAATACAGTAATATTAATTAAAAATATTTTTTTTAAGAATAAAAAAAGTCAATTAACAGTTAAGTTACTGTCTCCGACAGTTAAATAACTGCTGGAGACAGTAATTTAGCAACAAATACAGTAATATTAATTAAAAATATTTTTTTTAAGAATAAAAAAGTCAATTAACAGTTAAATTACTGTCTCCAACAGTTAAATAACTGCTGGAGACAGTAATTTAGCAACGAATACAGTAATATTAATTAAAAATATTTTTTTAAGAATAAAAAAATCAATTAACAGTTAAATTACTGTCTCCAACAGTTAAATAACTGCTGGAGACAGTAATTTAGCAACGAATACAGTAATATTAATTAAAAATATTTTTTTAAGAATAAAAAAATCAATTAACAGTTAAATTACTGTCTCCGACAGTTAAATAGCTGCCGGAGACAGTAATTTAGCAGCTTAGACAGTAAAATTAATTAAAATATTTTTTTTAAGAAAAAAAAAAAAAAAAAAAAGTCAACGCCGGAGACCCGGCGGTCAACGGCCGTTGACCGACCGGAAAAAAATTTCAGGAAAACAAAATTCAAAAAAAAAAAAAAAAAAAAAAAGTCAACGCCGGAGACCGGCGGTCAACGACGGAATCTGGCCGGAAAAAAAATATTTCAGAAAAAAAATTATTTTCTGAAAAAAAAAAGTTTTGGGGGTTAATGTGATATATTTGTTAAAATCCGGGGTCAATGTGTAATATTAAAGAAGTTAGAGCATAATGGTTGGAATTGATACGAATTAGGGTTAAAATTGGGGTCAAAATTGAAATTTGGGTTAAAATTGGTTAATTGATGAAATTGGGCTAAATTGGGGTGTAAATCATGAAATTGGAGTTAAATTGGGTTTCAAATGAATTGAGGGTAATTTTGGTATATATAAAGGGATTTTCCTTATTTGCAAATAAGTTTGAATGGGGTGGATTTATTTGAAAGACAAAAAAGTTGGATGTCCCTATTTTAATTAAGTGCCCTTGTCATGGGCCTATTTGCCATTACCCCTTAATTTAATAGGGGGTCACTAAAGAGAAAAAATACAAATTTATCGTTATAATTATATTGTATTATTATAAACTAAGTGGTTTTATAGACAATTCATATGTAATAACTGATTTTAACAAATTTAATAGAAAATCTAATCTAAGAAACCGTACATGCTACTAACTAAATAATTAATTAGTCAGTAGGGAGTTAATCCAATCTCATGTAATCGTAACCGAACGAGTCCTTATTATATATGTAATTGTAATTTTGAGAAATTAAATAAGCTAAGTTTAATCATTTTTTATTCAAAAAAAAACAATCAAAACTGAGTTACAACTCAATTTTACAAAAAAAAAAAATAATAATAATAATAAATTGATATAGATTTTAAGCTAGGTTCAATGAATTATGCAAGTGTTTGTACTATTTGTTACAGCATGGGGAAAAGCAGCAGTAGCAGCAGAAACCTCAATTGAAAACAAGTGACTCATCACTCCAATTTATCCGACGTTGGAATTAAATCAAACCATCAAATTCTCACCTTCCTAAAACCACTCTCCAAACACATTATAAATACCACCCTTTAATTATTCCCATTATTATTGCTCAATGCAAACACCACATTTTCTGCAATATATATAATATTTCAAACTCATATCCAAATTATAAAAATTATTTATATTATTTCAAACTAATTAAAAAAAAAACAAGAATCATGGAGAGAAGAAATGTAGGTGAATCGTCTCCTATTGAGAAATGTTCTTTGTCAGCTTCTCTTGAGCAAAAGCTTGCACTTGCCAAACGCTGTTCTCATGGTATATACATATTTATTTTGCTATAAATTCAATTTAATAGTTTTAATTTTCAATAATATAAATGATTCTATTGATTAATTAGTATGGTTTTATAAATCAATTTGATTTTATTATTTGGACAGAGGGTGTTATGGCCGGAGCTAAAGCAGCAGCGGTTGCCACTATTGCAACTGCAATCCCAACTGTATGTATATACATATACCTTTTAAATATTAATTAATTTACCAAATATATTTTTATACTATTTAATTATTATTTGGGATTATTATTATTATTGTTAAATAAAAATAATGAATTTGCAGATGGCAAGTGTGAGAATGCTGCCATGGGCGAGAGCCAACCTCAATCCCACTGCACAGGCTCTCATAATCTCCACCGGTCAGTTTTTATTAATTATCACTTTTTCGAAATTAATATTATTAATTATTAATTTATTATTATATATGTAGCAAATTAATATTAGAATATTATTATTAAAAGTTTATTAACATGATGATGAAAATTAAATATGTTGGTGTAATTAATTAATTATGACATCAGTGGCGGGAATGGCGTATTTCATAGTGGCTGACAAGACTGTCCTGGCGACGGCACGCCGGAACTCCTTCAACGGCGGCGCGTCTCTCTCCGACCACAAACATTAGTACATAGTGCATAGGATGACGTGGATTTTGCTCTACTGAATGTTTTTTGCTTTTCATTTCTAATTAATTAAAGCCGACTATGCTGTAAAATCATGTCCACCAACTTTATCATTCTGCAAATAAATAAATAATATTAAAGTGCTTTTTTCCTACTTAAATGCAATACATGGAGTAAAATAATATATATTTATTGATACATATGACTTTTTTAATTTAAAACCAATTAAATAATTAAAATTTATTGATTGTATTTATTTAACAATAAACTATCATTCATTAATTAATATATTAAAATGCACAAACGCGAAATCAAAGTGAAGAAAAAAGTTATTCTTACTAAAACATCGATAAATTAATAAACTCGTTTGAATTATATTTTTTTTCGGTTCCAACTAATGTACAACATGTTAACAAATATATCGTTAAATTAATATTTTGCTAATTTAATAGAATTTCGTTGGGCCGGACTATATTAAGTAAGGAAATTAAACAGCGCGTGGGCCAGGATCCGTTTCAAAATGGGCCGAATCGAATTTGGGCTAAAATTATTTTACCCCGGTGCCCTTCTTCTTCTTCTTCACCGGAAAACAAAGCCAAGCGACGATCAAAGATGACCGGTGCTTCAGTTTCCCGGTTGTCAAGTATCATCTTCACCAAGGCCGCTGCTACTGCCGTTACGAGAAGGTAATCAGTGCGCGTGTGTGTGTGTGTGTGTGAGAGAGAGAGTCTGTATGTACTGTATGATGTTCTTCTTCTTCTTTTCCCCCCCTTTAATTACATGTATCAATAGCGAGGGTTTCTGCGAATACATCTCTCAATCTTCAGCTCGTTTATGTACAGAAATGACTATAATAACAATTAACAGCACATTTTTCCCTTAATTGAATTATAAATTTTCGATTTCATTTTTTAAATCAATACGAGGTATTTGGCTTAATATCATTTTCGCGCCTGCTTCCGTACATTTTTTTCTGGATTTCGTTGTTGCTATAACCAATGAATTTGTAATTGTAAAATGTTCAACCACACTTTTCATGGTGTTTTCATCTTGTAACTACTTACGCAGATTTTATACTGAGGTTTTTTTTTTTTTTTTCTTATGCCAGTCAAATGAATTAGCCTTTGATTCTTTTGTAATTAGAAACTCAAATGTAGTTCTGTGGTTAAGTGATGGATTTTATATATTATGCAGGGATTTTAAATGGCTATTCAGGACCATTTGTACTACTACTCGTTCGGCTGAAGCCACCTCGTTTACACATTTTGTAGGTCGTTTTGGTTATCGGAATCAAATAACTCATCATTTGCAGAAATCTCTTCCCGGTTTTTCATGTGGATTTAGTTTAGTGAATGCTTCGTCTGTAAATAAATCGTGTATATTTGGACCTCACAATTCTAGGGGATATGCTAGAGACACAACGAATGCATCTATTGAAGTGAAGACAGACGAAGATGTTGTTAGATTTAGCATCGGTAATCAGAGTCATGACAGAGTGTCTTTGAAGAAAGAAAAGAAAATCGCAAACAAGTCCGACGTTTCTAGAAAGGCAAAACTGAATGAACTCAGGTTTTATCGGTTGAAAGCAAAGAAGAAAATGAATTCTCCGAACCCTGAAGTTAGAATCAGATACAAGCTCGAAAAGGTAAGCAATTTGTTCTTACGATTTTACGTCTTTTCTCGACTCTAAATACTTTATATACATATTATACATTGTATATTTCTTTCAGGCAAAACGGAAAGAAGAATGGTTGATTGAGAAACTGAGGAAATATGAGGTGACTAAAGCATCACCCGAAACCTACGACCCCGAAATATTGACCGAAGAAGAGAGGTTTTATCTTAAGCGAACCGGGGAGAAAAAGAAACATTATGTTCCAGTTGGGAGACGAGGTGTATTTGGAGGCGTTGTTCTTAATATGCATCTTCATTGGAAGAGGCACGAGACGGTTAAAGTCGTATGCAAACCATGCAAACCTGGGCAAGTGCATCAATATGCCGAGGAGCTCGCTCGGTTGAGCAAAGGCATTGTCATCGACATAAAGCCGAATAGTATAATAATATTATATCGGGGGAAGAATTATGTTCAACCGGATATCATGTCGCCTCTGGATACTCTATCCAAAGCAAAGGTATGAAAAACAAAATATTACTTATTGAGTGGTCATATTTTCGGTAATTTTACGTGCGTATTATTATTGACACTAGGGATTTCTAGGTGAGGACTTGCTTATTTATATTGGTTATATTTTGATGGTTCTTGTTTTGTTAATTCGTATGATGTAAAAATAGTTACTCTGATTACAGGCTCTGGAGAAATACCGATATGAACAGTCCTTGGAACATACGGGCGAGTTCATTGAAAAGCTGGAGAATGAACTGGAAGAATATCATCGACATATTGCTCGGTATAGAAAGGAGGAAAATCCGAGGCAGAAGATTTGAGGGATACAGTTGATATAAGAAAGTGAGTATTTGATTTTCTCTTCTTCATACTATTTCAAACTTAAGGTTGTTAAGTGCTTCATGGATAATATGCTTCTGTATTCCCTTAGGTAACGAGTATCAAAATTGTTCTGGTCCATCCCTTTATTTACGGGTAAATATATACGTAAATGCATATACGGATAAATAATATTTTATCCTTCAATTTCTTTGTTAAGCTTGTTTCTGCATGATATCAGCTGTGGACCTGAATGAATGACCAGTGCTTGTGAATTTTGATGTCAATTTGGTATAAAATCACGTCGATCGTATAGTTTGGTAGCGAAACGGACAATAAAGAGAATAAAACTTCATATTATAATAGTGTTAGTTCTATTTAGCTACTGTTACTCAGTTGTCGTAAACCTTTAGCCCAGAGAAATATGTTTTTGCAATCATTTTTTTCGTTTTATTTCACCATAAACGTGATTTATCTTATATTTACGCACCATCATCTCGTGTTTTCGCCATATGTTTTATTTTCCGTGCAGAGTTCAATACTGCCTAAGAAAGATGTGGATTCGTTCTTTTTTCTTCGAACCTCCATCTGTTTCAATCTTCAGGCAAGACTTGCTAATTCTGTGCATATATTCAAATATTGAAGATTACTTTTGGCCGTTACGTTCGTTGGGATTTTAGGAACTATCACGTATAACTTGTTTATCGGAATCATTTAGGAATAATTTCCAATTCTTTTGCAGGTTTTTGGCTTCTCAAAATGAAATTACGTTTGTTAAACTTTTCAAATTAGACTTCAGTATCTTTTCGTGGGTAAAACAAATTCAAAAGTTACTCTCTCGTTTCGTGTATATAATGATTTGACAGTGCTATAAAATTCAAACAAACATTGTGCTTTTTTTTAAATACAAAATATAAAATAAGATACTAAAACCAATATATAGTACATACTAATTTCCAAGTACATTATTATTCTTATTTATAATGTTTTTAATTACATATTTATGCAGAGACCACGGATTTCATCGAGAGAGAGAGAGAGAGAGAGAGAGAGAGAGAGAAAAACCTGCATTCTTGCTGTCTGATACATCAATTCCACACTTCTGCTGTCTGTCTCCAGAGAAATGAGATATAGACCTCATTCTGCCTTATGCATGCACCTGCCACGTGGCATTCTTCTATAAGTAGGGTCGGGGGTATGGGGTTGGTTTGGTTCACCTTTTGCGGTAGAAAACGTACTTTTAGGGCTTTTTTCGTTTGACCAGCGATCACTAATTAAATAATAACACTCTGAAAATATTATGTTATTATGGCTTATCTTATCTTCTGATTATGTTTTTTGCCGTGACTAATCTTATGTTGACAACGAAACTAAACCTTAAAGTATAGTAAGTAGGACGAATTTGACAATACCTCCTGCATGCAGCTTATTTTTTGGAACGAAACTCTTGTGAAAGTTTATTTAATTTAACATGAGGCAATTTTAATATATACATTTTTATCATAAAATATTTTTTTAATGAAATATAATTCAAAATTCGATTCATCCCAACAACTGAGTTGAATTGTGACTTGACTGTGATAGAGAAAAGGGCTGAATCTTTCTGACAAGGAAAAAAAGGCAATAGCCATTGGGTAAAAAATAATAAAAATAAAAATGAAGTAAATGAACAGTAAATTGATTTGATGATGCATGAAAATGTGGAAACCAATGTGTAATATGTTGATCCCGAGGCCCCACTCAGTGTGTCAAATCAGCCTAATTAGGCTGCCACCCTTCACTGCCTCAGTGCCTCTCCAACTCTCTAAAATTATTATTTTTTAATATATTTTTGCATAAATAAATTTTTTGAATTTCTTTGTATATTAAAAAGGTATTAAATAATGAAGTTCGTTTTATAAATGAAACTTTGTCATAAAAATTCAGTCTCATTATTAATAATGGATGAAACTGTGGGTTGAAGTTGGTTTTCTAGAACATACACCTGGTGAAATACATCAGAAGAAAAAGAAAATTGATCTTTTTATTTTTATTTCTATATTTTGATCTATTTGCCCCCTAAAAAGGAATACAAACACCCTACTTATAATGATTTATGTTAAATTTAAGGAGTTTCAAATTTCAATGATGATATATACTTATATTACATTAATTAAATTAACTTTAGAATTATTTATTTTTTTTCTAAAATAATTCAAAAATAATAATTCGGGGCCGCTGTTTCCGAACTTCCGAGAATTTAAGCCCACCATGTAATAAATTCCTAGACTCGACACTGCTCAAGGGTGTTAATGTAATTTAGCTGGTATTTGCAAGTGATTTTTGTAATTCAACATAATTATTGGAAACATTAGATTAGAGAGATTGATGGTGGTCAAAGCCACAAATGTTGTTGCTCCATTTCTTCTCAATTTACCCCTTTTGAAAACACTCAAAAGAAACCTGAACCTGTGTCCTATATTTTCGTGATAAAAAAATAAAAATTATAGGAATAATTTCCGTATACATATTGTCCTGTAAGAGAAACCCTGTAAAGATGCACCCTTCAGTTTCCAATTTTATATATATATATACATATACCCTACACTAACACCCCTCCCTCCTAGATCCTACCCCTCCGCCCCTATAAGTATAACAACATCCACCCACTTTCTCTCTCTTCGTCTTCGCTTTCTCTCTCTTCTTTCTTGTTCTTGGTATACTTTTTCTTGAAATCGAATGATGACTGATAACAGCAAGAAGAAGAAGAAGAAGAAGAGAGGTGGGTCCAAGAGGAAAATGACCCTCGAGCAGACGGTGGCCTACAAAGCGGTCAGCGACTGGGTTTTCTTGGACCAGTCGAACAGCGGCGCCGGCGCCGGCGGCGGTGGTGGTAGTAATAATAATAATTCGGGCATATTTGTGGATGCTTTTCTAGATGATTTTGGGGTGCAATGGTATCAGCCGAAGGAGAAACTGGTGTTTGAATTCCACTCACACACAACATGCAGCGATGGCTTTTTGTCCCCCACTAAGCTTGTTGAGAGAGCTCATCATAAAGGGGTCAGCTTTTTGAATCTTGAATTTTTTTATTTTATTTTTTTTTAATTTCATTTTCTTGAATTCATATGATTTTTCTCTGTTCATTGGTGATATGTGTGTTGATTTTTAGTGTTTTCTTGACAAGTTTTTGATTGTTGAAAGGCTCTCTGTTTTATTCAGTTGTGTTCTGATGTTGTATTTGGGGATTCGATTATAAGTTTTCGTAATTTTCGATTAATACATTTGCAACACATTGTTGATAATGTAAGGAGCAATGAGCTTAGTGGTTTTCTTCGAAGATAGTCTCTAAGTGTATGGGGAAGAGCCAACTGTTGTATTCCATTTGGAAAGTGTGCTTTGAGCTCTTCCAAGTTTTGAAATTTGTCGACATTTTGAATTCGACGTTCTTCGAAAGCCGAGACAAAATGTGAACGGCATTTAAATTTGGTATTTCAATTGTTTGACATGTGTAGAACACGGTTGGTTATATTTGATTTTGGATTTGGTGGAGAGAAAGTGCAAAGTTCAAAGTTTCATTTGTCGTCTCACACTTGGTTAACGAACCCGTGATTATAAGTTCTTGCTATTTGGACTTTTTTTTTTGAGCTCCTTCTAACTATTAATGAATAAAGCAAGCCAATTAATGTATATGATCCATTTAGCCGATCTTTTTTCGTTGGCATAAATTGCAATGGATTAGGAATTTCTTTACTATGTATCCTTATCTACATCGTGCGAATGAAACAATTTGGAAGTATTTTGAAAATCTGGTGAAGATCGATGTCGATTTGCTGCAGATTGATGATGTGTTTAATTTTTGTCCAGAACAGGTAAAAGTTCTGGCTTTGACGGATCACGATACGATGTCCGGCATCCCTGAAGCCATGGATGCAGCTCGCAGATTCGGCATCAAAATTATTCCCGGTGTCGAAATTAGTACAATTTTTCACTCAAGGTAAACACTTTTCTTTTCCCTTCTGTTCATTTCTTGATTTAATCATTTGAAATGCATCTAATGAAATATCTTGTTGATTTTGTGTATTACGACTGGCAGAGGGGATTCTTCGGGGGCAGAAGAACCCGTTCACATCCTCGCATACTACAGTAGCTGCGGGCCCACAAAAGCCGCACTATTGGAAAAATTCTTAGGCGATATTCAAGAGGGTAGGTTCCTCCGTGCGAAGAACATCGTAGCTAAGCTCCACAAGCTCAAATTGCCCGTTAAATGGGAGACCGTTTCAAAGATTGCAGGCAAAGGGGTCGCCCCCGGAAGGCTTCATATTGCTCGTGCTCTTTTAGAAGCAGGGCATGTTGAGAATCTGAAGCAGGCTTTCAGTCGGTACCTTCATGATGGCGGGCCCGCATACTCCACGTAAATTTTTTTCTAATTTTTTTTTAGTTAAAGTGAAACCACTAATAATTATTAATATTTTTGTTTAAAATAAAATTGATGATTAATTTTTTTTTTGTCAGGGGAAGTGAGCCTGTGGCAGAGGAAGCGGTTAAGTTAATACGAGAAACGGGTGGAGTTGCTGTGCTGGCACATCCGTGGGCATTGAAAAATCCGGCTCTTATAATAAGACGACTTAAAGATGCGGGCCTACATGGTTTAGAGGCTTATAGAAGCGATGGCAAGCTATCGGGTATGTAAGTTTGTTTGAATAGTATTTAAAACTCGAAGAATCGAATCGAGTTTTGCATGTGCTTTATGTTGGGATTCATTTGTATGGAAGGATTTGAAGGGAGGATTTCAAATCCGTAATAAATAAAAAATCATCGAATTTTATTTGGACAAATCTTTAGCTCTAAATTTTAGTCGATTTTTTTTACTGACGAACACTTAATTACGTGCAGTATACAGTGATTTGGCAGATGCGCACGATCTTTTAAAGCTGGGAGGATCGGATTATCATGGGAGAGGGGGCCCACACGAGTCCGATTTAGGGAGCGCGAGTGTTCCGGTAACTATGGTGCACGAATTCCTGAAGATGGCTCGACCAATTTGGAGAAATGCCATTCTTGAAATCCTCGAAAACTACATCAAAGATCCTTCGGACTCGAATTTGCAACACATTATCAAATTCGGAAGGACAAAAGCTGCGAAAACGAATTTGCCCATCTGCAATGCGAATGAATTGATCAACAATTGTCTGTCATCGTGGTTGTCGAAAGAAGAAAGAGAAAATGCTGAATTCGAGACCATCAAGTCAACCATGGGAGATTTGGTTGTTCATGCAGAAAGTATTTAGGTATTTTTTGTTTTCTTTTTTCTTTCTTTTTTCTATTCCTTCCCTTCCATACATCGAAAAGGTGACGAGAAATATCAATTTTGTCGATTTATTTTTCGAGGCAATTTTGATTGTCCACAGAAAAAAAAAATTATTTCTTTATTTCAGATCATCTTTGTAATGTTACAGTTTTGAAAATTTTCCTAATTTATCACTTTGGTGTATGTTATCTTCTGCGTCAACATTCGACAAGCTTCTCTCATATCTAGATTTCGATTTTTTTTCGTTCTTTTACCAGGGTTTAGTAGATGCTACCCACTCTACACACACATCAACGTATATGTTTGCGTGTGATTGTTTGTTGATATATAACGCAAAATTACTCGATATAGCATCAACCCTTTTACCAGTTATATTATATACGCCTGAAATTAAGTCCGTGGTCAAACAATGCAGAGCTGTATATTCTAAAAATGTCACAATGAAACTTCTCACATAATCAATAATCTGCGAACAAAACGGCAAAACTGTCGGCAGGGGAAAAAGAAAAGAGGGATTTTTCAAGATCGATATTACAATTGCAGCATCATAAATTAAACTAGTTATACATTTTGATTTTATAAATAAGGCCTTGTTTTCAAGCTTGATGTGCTCGATAATCCTTTGCTGTCTGTTGTACACTTCACTAGCTCGAAAACCCGTTGTGAATGATGGTGCAAAATATGATTAGTCGTGATAACCCAACCCCGTTTCTTGTTTTTTCTTTGTTTCGTGATAAGTTAAAGGCTTTAACCGAGTTTCCCAATTTCCATTTTCTTCCTTATTGCCTTCTGACCATGGTAGATGAAGGAATCCACTATTCCAGCAACTGTGAATACACCTGAATAATACAATATAAATTGGGGTCGTAAAATTTTCGACGATTTTTTCTTTTTTTTTTGTGTGGCAAGAATTGGAAGGTGAAGAGCAAAATATAAAATAAAATAAAATTAGGTACCTCCCACTATAGCACAGATGTGTGTAAGAAAATGTAGGAATGATGCATGCTCCTCTGTGAAAGTCACCTGTTAAAAAAAAAAAAAAAAGTCGATGCGCATTGGTAAAATATGCTGATTTTCTTGCAAGTTATACTTGAGATGTGTATATTTAACTTATTCTAGTACGAGTGAGTACCACTAACCTTTATAGGAGAAAGGTCATAAAAGAAGAAAATTCCGGGAAGGGATCTGTACTGGTCCTCTTCGGAACTCTTGTAATGCTCAGTTACTGAGAACTGCATATATAAACGGTAATTTATTATAACTCGAAAACAGACAAAAGGTAATTAATTATTCAACAAGATTTTCCATCTTCAGGAGCCTTAAGAAGTACCTGATTTGACTGAATGGTATGGCCTTTGATATTGGTGTATATAGTTGGAACCACCTGCAAAAGTAGTTGGGACGCTTAGACAAACACACTGTATTGCATGCATTAATTGTAACATCAATCAAAATTTTAACCAACCATACTTTATCGTAGTGACAGGGGTATAATAGGAATCATGAATAAGTTGATAAACATAAAACATTCGTACTTTTAAAGGTAGGATAGATATATAGTTCAAATTATTTATAAGATTAACTGCTCACGACTCGGAAGTGTATTTATGAGAGAGAAACAGAGAGACGATGATAGGTAGAAATAGGTAGCCGGAATACACTAACCTTGAGAAAATATTGATACACTCCATTTGGCCTTATCTGAACCCACTCTACCCTGAAGTTCAATAAAAACTTTTATTAATGCACGCAATAGAATAAATATAAGACGAAATATCCCATTCATCAGCTTCTCTCATTCTTTTTTTTTTCCTTTTTGAAGTTATCGCAGATAGATTGAAAGAGTGCTCGAGAGTTTGAAAAAAGAGTACCCATCCAATGGATTTACAATGCCAGGAATAGAATCTCCAAATGATAACTTGTTGATCTTGTGGCTTATCTGCATGGCACATCATAAACAGGTGGAATAATCAATGTAAATAATTGAAATTCAAAGAAACTGAATATTAATTATTGATAGGAGACGAAGAGAAAATTGCGTAATCTATAATGGGAACTAAACAGATTCTTACATTATAACTTTCTGATTGTAAAGCCAGCAAATCAAGCAGATGCATATTTGTTTGATGAAAGCTTTTACCAGGAGCAAAATGAAAATTTCCAGCCACTTTGTTAACCTCCAAAGATCCATGTATATTGCATCCTTCGCCTTCTTCCTCTTTCACTTTTTGAACAAAGCCTTCTCTTTTACACTAAATACCATATTAACCACATCAGAAACGAGACAATTATTTTATTGCAGAAAATAAGAGAAATTCGTGACAGTGCAAATGAATCATTTTTTTCTGGTTTTTTTTTTTTTTTTTTTTTTTTGATTTTCAAGATGATTGAACAAATATTCAGATATAAAAATGAACGTTTATAAACTTAGAAACAATTTTATTAATAACTTTTGATTGCTAAATTAAGATAACACTAGACATGAAAAGTGGTGTCCATCAACCTGATCAATCAAATCCGTATTTGTCATTCCCCAGCCTCTCTTTCGATATGCTTCACGAACCTCTTCACATGAATTACAGCACTCTTCATCGGACTGCAAAAGAAAAATAAATATATTAATAGACCAATCTTCATGTATGTAAGATGATTGGGCAACATCGGAAACATAGATCCACACAGCAACAAATTTTATGAAAATGAACATAGCAAAAATATTAAAGGAAAAACCCCCTTTTTGTATCTTAACCTTGAAACAATCTAAAACATCTAGATGAATGATTACGAATTTTCAGGTAAAGATGAATGGTTATCACAGGTACATGATTCCAAATTTTCATATAGAATGGCAGAGTATCCACTATACAATTTGTTTGCTCCAGCTCAGTTTAAAAACAGAATTAAGCAACGAAGATGAAACTTAAATAGATAGAAATACCGTTTCTGCACCAAAACATGAACCACAGTATGTCTCATTGTGCTCAAGCCTGCCACCATGTTTCTGCAGAGGCTTCTCGATCTGAATAACATATTTAGAACAAATGAATGAGCAAGTGAACAATGGATTGTGTGCGTTAGGAAACAATGAGAGAGAGCAAGCGAGACAAATATAAGAATAGGAAACGACTATATTGACAAATCATATGTGGATGATAAAAGCCAATCTCCAATCTCTAATGAAATGATTCTTAATAAAGCATAATCTATCTACAAGAATTTCTCTGAAACGTCACCAGAGTACAAGTGGAGTTTCCATACAGAAAATGGAAAAGTTACAATAAAAAAAATAGTAGCGTACATAAAAATCACATTACCGTGAGTGCACCAATTCCATCTTGTCGCGTTTCAATCACATTACCATGAGAATCAATCCTTTTCTTGAAAATGTCGTGTCTCTGAAAATTAAGTGAAGCATACAAACCATGTATCAGAATTTATTTTAGTCACGGCTAACGATAGCCGAAGCAGAAAGGTAGACAGTATTAAGATTTGCAAACAATGAAAATAAACTGAAAAAGAAAATCAATTGCACAGCATACTATGTCCATATGCCGCTCTCCGCTAATATCCATGGCGTCAACACTCAGCAGTGTACATGGAACGGAAGGAAATGTTACATCAAACTGCATTCAAAGCGAGATGAATGAGTCGTAAATATGCACAACTGAACAGAACATACTAAAACTAGAATGAGTATTTCGAGCTACCGATCAGGCATCAAGCCTTCAACCAATTAATTAGAAGAACAAGAACTACTATGAGCACGTAACATTTCAGAGTTTTAAGTTTATTAAATTGGTAATGAAAGAGAAGTCAAGAGTCTAGCCATATAAGAAGACTAAACTACCTTGCGTCAAGTGATTCATCTTTAAGAAGATTAGAGCTTTGAGAATACTCCTAAATTGTAAGTTTGAGCGTATAATGTCAAACAAAAACTTCAGGTATTAAACAGGAGACAATTATCTTACATTGATACGTAATTTTCCTCCCCTAGATGTGTCTACCACAAGCTTTGAATCTGTAACAGTGTGGAGGTATAATCCTGCAGGTTGCCAACAAATATGATTTAATATACAAAGAAAAATGCAACTTTTAGAAAAAGAGCTTCAACATACTGCACAGTGATGTATATTAGATAATTTCTCTCAAATAATTATATAAGAAAGATATCACCACCATCTAAGAAATAGTTGCAGCATGCCGGCATAATCTTTTATTACACAAAACATGTTGCAAGATTACATACACGTAAATAACGCTTGAATGGTATAAATTTTGGGAAAACAACTGCTTTCATACAAGATCCCAATCCCATTCGGTGATAGGCGAGATAGTAACTACTGCAAAATGCAAAGAGGATACAAGATCCCAATCCCAATCCCAATCTTTCTGTTTCTTTGGCCTTTTACATAAATATCATTTCATCAATTCAATAATCACGTTCAACTGGATACCAAATTAGAACGGATAACCAATAACTTTTTTCTATCGTCCATTCACATTTCCTGTTGCTCGACCAAAATCAGTATAATGTACAAAGCAAATAGGTGACTCCATTTGACTTATATTTCATCTACTTCTTAACTAATTCCTCGGTACTAATGTATGCAACTCATTTCTTAGCCGCTGACCTATACTCTACCTGAATAGACTAGCATCTATCTTACTACTACACAAGATCTCCAACCAGAAACGTCGAACCCGGACCTTACTTAATATCAGTTCACATTTACCACTGCAAAGTAGGATCCACAAAAGAACTTGAAAACACACCATTCAGTATCTTTCTGACAGTATATCATATGTGAAAACTCTGATTGTCAGTGTTAATTCTAAGAGCAAACAACAGATTTCCAACATCATACACAAAAGGAAACAAACTACATTAAAAGACTAATTCTGACATCAATTCAACGAACTAATCTAAATGTTCCATATTACGAAATAAATACAACAAGGTAGTGTCCAGATCTACGCACAAATTTTGAATCTTTATTGATTCTCAATGTCCCAATCGGGCCTTCCTTCTCTCCTTTACACCACCATATGCACCATTATTCTCCTTATTTCACAACTATCACTATTGCTCATAGATTCCGAGCCATTAGCCCAGGAAAATATGAAGCAATAAGCCGTTAGTTCTTCCTTCAGGGAAACAAAACTAAAAAGAAAATCCAAAATTAACGTTTTCTACGCACACACATAGAGAAAAAAAATCCCTAAAACCTAGGCAGAAACGAAGAAACGGTAGCAAAACAATAAACAACTACATAAATAGCAGCAGAAGCATAAAATAGAAAGAATCACGTACTGAACTCGGAGAGGAAAAGCAACGCAATGAAGATGGAGGAGACGAGCGTGATAACGCCGCCGGATAGCGTACGGCTGTAGAAATCCTCATTGATTTTGGGGTAGGCGTCCAAATTCCTCAGCCTATTGTACATCTTATCCATCAAAAAAACATACAAAAACCAAACCTCTATTATTCCTCCGAAATCTATCCACCGCCGGCCGTTATGAATTCCTTCTTCGATTCGTAATTTGGATGAAGAATTTCTGGAATGGCCGGCAACCGGAGAATCGAAAAGGGAGGGTTTGACTACCGAAGGAATTCGCTTTACGCGTGTTTTTTTCCTTTTTTTATTTTTTTCTTTTTTTTAATTTTCTTTTTTTTCTTTTTCTCTTAGGTTTTCAAAGAAAAAGAAAGAGAAAAGAAGGAACCCTCCTCCCTCGGTTTCCACGAAAACTTGGAAAGATTAATTTTTTATTTTGTTTTGGTTAGTTTTGAAACAAGGGCTATTGGATATTTGTTATTCGGAAATTACGGGGAATCTCTGTTTATTCGTAGTAACGATAATAATATGCAACAACTTCCATCCTAAAAAATTAACTAAATAAATTTCATTATACATAATATTAAAAATTTAGTTAAAATTTCTAATTATTTTTCAGCCCCAAAACAATTTAAAATTTCAATTTCCAACGGGAACCAAAAGTGTTTAAAATTGAACCTTGGAAGAACTTTGTTCAATTTGGAACAAGAGGATCAAAAGTGGAATCGGCCCAAATATGAGGTTTCTTGAAGAAAAAAAGGACCAAAATAAGTTGAGCATTGCAGACACTTTTACAAAACAACAAGCTAGTAACAATACTGTAGTCGCCTAGTGGTCGACTATAGTTTACTGGAGTGATTAGATCGATTAAACTGAATTGACGGAAGATTTGGAATCCAACCCTGAACCCTCCCTTGTAAATACAGCCATGCAAGGTAAGAACATCCACCTCATCACTCTAAACAACAAATATGAACCATCGAAGAAAAACACGAATGTTAACTCCGACCTAAGTCTGGTCTTTTCTTTTCTTATTTTGCATATCTTATTTAAACTGGTATCGATCCCGAAGCGGATCAAGGATTTGATCTGATCAAAGAAAAAAAAGACTGAAAAACAATGGTCAATTTGAAAACAATGATCAATTTAGAACGGGTGGATTCGCCTCCACATGATTATAACCCAAATAGATAATACGAAAAACTACCATTACAGGTGTAACCGGCAAACGCAACATGCTTTTCAGAATTACATGTATAGCAACACGAGTAGAGAGAAAAAGAAAAATTATGCGAAAAAAAATATACAGCTTATCGTTTCGACAAACAAAAACCCGAAAAAAAAAAGATTGAAAAACAAAAAAACCATAATATCAGATAACTTGACATGCATGCCCGTGGCCATTTCTATACAAATGAGCACACAACACTTCTAACTCTCTCACTCCTCTCACTCTCTCTCTCTAACATTTGCAGTCAGTGTCGTCGGAGACCTTCTCCATCATAGTTGCAGTTTCGTCACAAATAACCAAATCCTCAACCATAACAGGTGGACTTTCGGTGGGTCCATGAACCTAGTCATGGTACAAGAAAATATACAGCCCACTAAGAAACCGCATGGGTTGCCATAATACAAGACAAAAGGATTTTGCATCAAAAGCTTACAGGTAATGATGAGTCGTGCACAGGTATGGCAGATGATTCTGAAGGCCGGTGAAACAATAAGTGTGCGATTGAACGGTCTATAGGATTTGTATCCGTCTCTATATCCATGAAACTGCTGCGTCAAATAGAAAGTCAGCAAAGGAGGATGCATTAGCATAGCAGAATGAATATTTAAGAAATAATATTTGGATCAAGGTTGATGATTATGAATGAACATTTTTTAACTCAAGCTAGTCGTAGTAAAAGCTTCTCTTTTGAACGTGTTTGGTTAACTAAAGATAAGATTATACAATCTTATGAAAACTCGATTGTATAATTGGACTAAGGGGGGCAATCCCCCAATAAGCCAAGATAAGAGCTCATTTTCCATAATTGGGGGCCGATCCAAAACGTCACGGCACTAACCAAACATCAAATAAGAAAATTATTTAATTGATTATGGCTTATCTTTTTAATCAAATGAGGCCTAAACAAAGAGTAAGAAATCAGGAAATATGTGTCGTACTTGTGTGGTCCTTCACCCATGAATGCTTTACTGGCCTCTCTTTCATCCCCGCAACTGCCGTTCAAGTTTAGGTGGTTACTTCTTTGCTCCGCACTCCGAGCAAGACGGTACAAACTGTCCCTTATGCACATCTTTGTTCTCAAATCCAACTAGCACAATAATGCCAACCACAATTAGTTTCCACATATATATAAATCTAAAAAAAATAAGCACATTGAATGTAGAAGAGAGTGTGTCATAAGCTTCTCTCATGCATTTCAAGATAGTCCTTCAACTTCTCTTCGGAATAATCATGCTGAATTACAGAAAATTAGCATGCCAGACTTCATGCATTTGTACAACTAAACTTTGAAACTAGGTCACTGCCACTAGGATCTTAGCACAAAACAGGCATGTTGTTTTTGTTGCAAATATCTGTAGGATAATATCAACTAATACAGAAAATAATCATGCCCCAGCCTGACCACGTAAACTATAAAAGCAACAATTTTGGTATACTCTTATACTCCATCTACACCAACTAACGCAGTACTTGTATGCACTCAAATACAAGCAGTTAATCTACTAATCTGCTATTCATTAAACATCTTCAACAATGCTACTTTTTGGTAGTCAATTATGTAGTCAGATATATTTTTCAATGTATCAACAATACCGAGGTTGGTATACCTGTTCCATAACAAGCTGAAGCTGGCGAAAACTAGCTGCTTCGAGTGAAGTATCATCCATGCCTAAACTCATAGACCTTTCTTGTATATCTGACGGACCTAATTCTATTGGAATTAAAGGGCTGAATCCTACGGTGCCCCTATGACTGTCCGAATCATCTCTAGAATAGCAAACTTGTTTTCCTCCAGTTTTTCCTGCAGTGCCAGTATCCCCTGTGACAGCCTGCACCGTCCCACTTGCCTTCTTTTTATTGCTATATGCAGAAGATAGACTACCTTGATGAGTATGCAATTTTTCTCTTCTCCCACTTTGTTCTGGAGCAGCCAGTGGAAATTTAGGGTCATCGAAACTCGATTGAGATTGATTGGATGCATGTGAGGAATCTCTTGGTGAAGGGGATGTCAAGTCATAAGTCTCGGATTTTACTACGGATGTCGTCGGATTTACTGAAGTAAGATCAGACCAAGGACTACTATCTGAATGCATAAACGAGAGAGGAAGCTGCACAACTTCATTGGACAAGTTACTCATATAGTTACTGTTATCTCCAAAGTAATGCTCTTTTCTTTTTCCAGTGGACTGGTTCTGCAGCTTAACCTGCTTTTTATGATCCATCATCTGCCAAGCATATAAGAAATTAAGAAGTGTTCCTACTGTTTGACAAACTTTTCAAGACCGTTAGCTTTTAAGCCCGATTAACATAAACAGTATAGTGTTCCACATTACTACCAAAAAATGTTACTTAAGTCTCAAAAAATCAAGGAAAAGCTTGAAAATCGGTGAATGAACTGACCTGTTGTCTAGGGATAAACCCATCTTCGCTATTAGCCATGGCGGGTCCATTCACAAAAGACATACAAGAATCAGATTTCTCTGAGGTCCAAGAAGAGTGATTGAACCTGGTGGGTACATATGTCATAGTAGAATCATTGGCAGAACTGCAACTTGAAGAGTTGTGATTTTGCGAAATATTTTTCACTGGATTTGACTCACCATATGGAAACTTAAAATCTGGCTTCACAATATCTCCAGATTCTCCTATGTTATCTGCTGAAGGAAACCAACCAAACTCGTCATCTTTCATTGCTGCAAGTCCAAATGCTGAATCACAACTCCTGTAATGAGCATAGATAAATGGGCTATGAGAACGCAAAATGTCAACGATAAAACAAACGTCAACAATAAAAACAGTTCAGCATTACCTAAACATCGTATCAACATCTTCGAAGTTTCCTATTTCAGGCCAACCATAATACAACATGTCACTAGAATCTTTGCCCTCTCTATTCTCAAAGAAATCAAGATTACTGCCTGTGAGAGTTATGTCACCAAGAGTATCGGTAAAAGAGTTGTTATCAACCGCAGAGGTCTGTTCACCAAGAATAGCATCATTTACACAAAATTCACTGTGATTGGAGTCTGCATTATTACTTTTGAACGCAGGACTTGATGATGTGGTATTCTCAGAAGCTAAACTTGATGTGTCTTTATTCGCATCACTATCGGATGGAGAAGGAAGCACAGCACTTGGTGCAGGGGAATAAGAATCATTTTCCAGCATCGTGCTCCTTCTTTTACTCAGAGATGAGAACCCCCCTTGTTCACTTCCCTGGTCACCATATGCAGCAGAAGATTGATCTCCAGTACCATTTGAAATACTAACAGCTTCATGGCGAGGTTTCTTATGGCTATCACCCAGAGCAGAATGATCAGCCCTTCCGGAACCAGGATGGGGCACTATATGATCGTCACTCTGGCAAAAGTCATCCCAAACTATGTCTTCGAACTGTAACAGCAGTTAGAGAAATTTTTAGCTGTAATAACTGCAAAATACTACCATAAAATAAATTAAAACGATACTAAAACCCATGTACTACATCAAACCACCAAGACCAAGAACATCATGAGTGACCACTGCAGAACTAGCTGAATGATATAATACCGCTGATGCATGTCTGGGGAGTATGAATGCAGACACGGATAAAAATGATATTGTCGAGCCTTTTAGCCATGGCTCCAGATATAGGTTGTCAAATTAAAAAAACCAGAAAATCATTTTCAAATTCGTCATGTCTTTCTTTCAACGAGTTTTGTATACCATTGACCCATGCATTTTACGAGGAGCAAAAAGAGACTCCTGGATCTATTACCCTGCCAGAGAATTAGCCAATATGTGTCAAATATTTACTCAATAGGGCAGCTTAGGTTGTGAATCACAACCAACTTACTACTATCAGTCTATCACTACGGATAAATTATGTTTTACATGTAGTACGGACGAATTATGAATAGTTCATCAAATAAACATGTAACAATCTGTTAGCCAAGCAAGTGCTTCAGTAACGCAATAGTTTCCTAATTAGTTCAGAATCTTTTGCTGATAGCTAACCAAAATAACCAACAAAATGAAACATCACTGTGCACAGTGATAAACTGTTCTCCATTTTTTCTTAAAGTTCTAGATGTGAATTGCCCTACCTCGTAAGAGCATAAGTCAGACATTCCTTGAAGTAGTCAGCCTGCACTTGAACTGGATGAAGTTGTCTTCATGATTGCGAACCAATTCTTCCTTCACCTCCATTAAAAAAAATCCACAAAAGAAACAAGCCCAAACAGAAAAATATCAGAAGTAAACCAAAGAAAATCACGAGGAAAAATTCAACCTAAACTCTCTTGCATAAAGAAACAATCCATACTCCCCACTGCACCAATTAACATACTGTCTGATTTCAATAAACAACATAGAATAAACAATGTCTACTTCCGGATGATAACACATATCACAAGAACAAAGAACAAAACTGACTTTTTCTCGGAAAATACCGTGTACTGAATGTATACTAGTTTACGTAATACTAGCAGCAGGTGAAGCACACTCCCCTGAATTTTCAGAACGCAAAACTACAAAGGATTATAGCAAAGATGTCTATTGAAAAACTTAAGTCTCTCCTCACAAGAAAAAAAATTATAAAAGCATAAAATAAAAAATTATCCCAGTTAGCTAATCCAGAACGGATCAATCAGTTCCAACTCATCAAAAATTTAATTTAACTGCAGACTGCAGTATAAATAAAACTAAAAAGTAAAAAGGGATGAAGAGAGAGAGAGAGAGAGAGAGGAAAACTTCAACCCCTATGATTCAATCTCAGACCAACTAAACAAATCTGGAATCATAAAACAAATGAACCGAGCTAAGCAACAAGGAAACAGATAAAAAATAAATAAATAAAATTGACAGCTACTGCTTTATTAACTGAAGCTCGCCGGAAACTCACCGGAAAAAAAAAATCGAAATCAAGCCAGGAAATCGACAACAATACTCCGGAAAACGAAATCTGCCAAACTTCAGCTCAGCAAATTAGTAGCCCTAAGAGTCTGGTTCTTCTGAGCCCCAAATCTAGGAGGTTCTATTCTAGAGAGAGAAAATAAGAAAGTACAGAGTTGTGCAAAATGGAGGTGTGACAGAGAAAAGTTGGCTTTGGTTTGCGGGAGTATTATTTTAATTAATTTTAATAATAATTAAATAATAAATAGCAGTCATGGAGGGAAGGACACGTGGCAGGGAAATCAATATAGAGGCGGCAGAGGTGACTGGTGGGTATCACAACTCGTGGACGAGAGCTCGGGTCCTGATACGATCTCTTTCTGCACCCTTATTGGTCAGCGCCTTTTTCGGGTTTCCGGATCCGTCTATTGGGCCTCTCCGATATTGATTTTTGGGCTATGATGCAATGTTTGATATTTATTTATTTTTAATTTAATTTTAGTATTACTATCATTCAAAAAAAAAATATTTAGTATTACTATCATTCCTTTTTTTTTTTATCAATACTAAGATTAGAGTATGTGCATTTTTATCACTAACTCGTTTTACGACGAATAGTGGTGTATGTGGTCGTACAAGTAGTATCAGAGTCGAGGTTACATATTCGATTCTTGGTGAGGACAATTGTTGAGGGGAGATTTTGTTGAGGTTACAAAATCGAATGTCTCGTCAAAACTCGACTCAATTACTAATCAAATTAATCTCAAAGACAGCTTTTAAAAACTCGATAAAAAAACGAATAAACATGAACAATCGTTCGTTTCGTTGATACTCCCATATCTTATATATTGTGCTCTTGCTCTTAAAGCCACATTTGTGATAGTACATTTCATTATAACAAACTTTTTTTCACTCCAAAAAACAACACCATCATCAACACGCACACATATGCTCGTCGAGTTTATTACATGCTACATCAGGTGAAATACACCATGTACATCATCATTATTCATTTATTACACACATATCCGCACTGGTGTGTGTAAATTGAACCTAGATCTTTATTGATCGGTTTGAAAGTAGAACAGACCAATAAACATCCAAATTATTGAACAAAATGCCGAGAGGGTACAATTCCACAACAAAATGAACCAATACTGCATTATTCGATTATGCGTTTCAATCGACTGTGAACTTGGCTCGAGCTCGAGAACAACAACAAAAACACTTTGCACGATCGTACACAATCAATCACCTCTTCAAAAGCTTGTGAGAGAAAATCCCCTTCGTATAGGGACTGCTACGCGAGATCTCCTTGTAGTATTCAATTGCGTTGATCAAAGAATTATGGAGGCGACCCTGATTTCAAAACCAAATAAATATATTTATTCAAGTATATAATTTTTTTTAAAATTGACGGTTTCGACCAACGATTTAGCAGCAAACGGGCAAAAAAACGATAGTGTTTACCTCAGAATAATTAAGAGCGGTTTGAAGTACGTAATTTGCATGCGGATCTTGAAGCAACTGCTCGAAGCAAGTGGCGGAGAGTAATTCTTTGATTATCTTCGACCGGATTTCGTTATTACATATCTTTAAACAATGTTCGACAACATGGCTGCTAAATTTTTGGGTAGAGAGATTAACATAGTTCCCCTCGAACTGAGACGTCAGCTTCGATGTAGCAGATGGAATCTCGAGGTCCAAAATAAACTGAACTACGTAATTTCTACAACCCGAGAAAACGATGTTAAATATAAAATAAGGAAGCAAAACGGATAAAGAATATTCTGTTTTTTTTTTTTTTTGGTTACCCGTAAGCATCTTGAGCGAGCATAAGTCCATTTGCCGAAATCTCGGAAATCAAATTCTTACGAAGCTCGCCGGTGGACCCACTGATGCAACGCTGCAGCACACAACACCCGTGCTGGTGCGTGGCAATTTCGATACAGTACTTTGTGGCAGCAATAAAAATGAACTGCAAATATATACAAACATACATATAGTTAAAATAAAAATAATAATCTTTTTATTTAAAAAAATTCGGCACCATGATATTCGTGCAGCACAAACTCAAATTATCTTCGATTTTTTTCTAACGTATACGAAATTTTGTAGCCTTATATTTGTCGGATTGTCTAATGTAAGGAGGATATAATCATCCATCTAAAACATGCATAATGTCTAAAACACGCGACTGCAATCATCGATCGTAATATTTTTTCTCGATTTCTAACTATGTGAATTATGTGTAAATAGGTATGTAATTACCTTACAATCTTCTGTGGTAAAGCAATGCAAGCACCGTTGAACAACGTGATTACCGTTTAAATCTTGGATTAGGACAAGAAAACCAGGTTCGAGGGCTGAAATAACAAGCGATATATGCTGCCTTAATTTAAGCGTCTCGATCAACTTCTGCACCACCCGAGTCCTGCATACGAAAAATAAATCAATAGTAATACCAATTTAAAAAAAAAAATGTTAAATGGACCTCTACAATCTACATACCCATGTGTGTTAAGAGAGATTTGAACGAGGTCCCCCGGGAATCGAGTCACCCTAATCAAAATCTGCATCCTCTGCTCTTCGTCGCAAACTTCCAACAACTTCTGCACGAGATAATTTCCGAAAGGGTTCATCATTAGTTCGACGACGTGGCAAATAATCTCGTTGAATATTATATTCACGTCTCGGGAATTCCCTTCGTCGAACATCCTCTGCAAGAATCTGCACCCGTGCTGGTCCTTCGCCATGTGGTATATATACCCACGAGCTTCCTCGAGCGAGCTGCACTTCGGGTTACTTATTTGCGATTTCTTCCCATTTTGCCCCCTCGAACGAGCATGACTTGCCAAACCATCGTCCCTCGTGAAGAAGGGAGGTGGTTCGATACTCCGGTGGGGTAGTACTTGGTTCCTTCCATTATGACGAGGCATCAAACGGACCACATTCGGAGTATACAACAAATCGCGGGGTTCGACCGGATTCGCCCCGTTTTGAGTGGCGTGCCCGTAAATATCACCAACTTGGGGGGCATTAGTACTAGTAGTCCTACGAAATTGAGGCCTCGTTAAGAAATCGCCCGATCTCGACAGATTCGCAATCGTCGTCTCCCCTCCCTCGAAGAAATTCAAGGGGGGCGGATTAAACCCTCCGTCGAGATTAAACCCTACCCCCCGATTCTCGAGACCCGTCGGATTAACAACCCGAATCGGAGTCTTGGAAGCAGGGTTCAGCTGATCATTATCATCACTGATGTACATTCTACTAAAATCTCGAGACAAATGAGAATCGTCGTAGGAATTATTGATGCAATTAGGGTTCTTGAAATCGGACAACGACCCGTCACCGCCGTAGATCAAATGGGCCGGGTACGGGTACGGGTTATCGGGTTGCAGGTTAAAACCAGTCAATGGAGAAGAGTATGTGTACTTGCTATTATTATGCTTCAAGAAATCATGCATACCGCCATGGCCATCATCGTCAACATCAAAAAACCATGGCGGAAAATTCATCGATGGAAATTCAAATTCACTCACGCCCCTCATCTTTTTTTTTCTCTCTCTCTCTACAAAATTCTTCTCAATTTGGCATATATATAATTAATATATATACACAACAACAGAAGAAAATAATCAAAATACCGACAACGAAGAAACGATCAAAGAGGAAGAACCCATGAGAGATTACCGAATTTCAGCATCTGGGTTTTGATTTTCAGCTCGATTGGGTTTTGGGTTTTTTTTGGATTTCTTTTTTTTTTTTTAATTTCTGGGAAAGGAGTTGGTGCAGCATGCAAAGATGAATGTGATTGGTTTACATATACATTGTACTGGATATATATTATATATATATATTATATAATATATATATATATTTATACATAATACACACACAGACACACTGGAAGGGTCTCTCACGCCATTAAAGCTGGAGAAAAGGAACAGTCTCTCTTTCTCTCTCTACTCACTCTGCTTTCTCTCTCTAATTCTTTGTTCTACATACAATACAGGTGTGTGTATGTATGTATATATAGAGAGAGATAGAGGGTTTTCTTAATTTATTTTTTTTATTTCTTTGAAATAATTTTTGAGTCAAAATAAATTGTAAAAAAATTACACTGAGCTAGCGGCACTCACAGTCACACAGACACTGATACGCTGTTTCTTCAAACGTTGTACTTTAATTATTATAAAAATGAAAACAAAAATTATTTTGTCTTTTGTATTTTTTAATAAATAATACTAATAAATCAGAAACGTATAGAACACGGCCAAAAAGTTCATTTATTACCCAAAAACAATTATTAAAATATAATTTTCTAATTCTTAAATACAATTATTATACTGCTGAATTAAAAAAACTAAGATAAATAAATAATTATTATCACATTTAAAAATAAAAATTGTGTGTTCAAACATAGATTAACAAACTTACTAATTTATCTCCACTTTTAAAGGGCAGAGATTTGATTTGATTTAGTTTTAATTATTATTAAAAGAAAAGTATAAAAACACCCTACTTATATGCCTTTTACCCGGTATCCTCTACCATAATCATTTAGATTCTTTTATTTTTTTATTTTTTTACTTGACCATTTCTTTTTGTATTTTTAGGACAAATTAATACCAAGCCCATAAGGTATAGCCAAATTACGAAAAATCCCCTTCTATTTGGGTAACTATAATTTTCAACCACCTTGGATTATGTATTGTCTTACATGTGCACTTTTAACGTGTCAAATTAGCTACTAAATATGACTTATTGGTAGAGTACGAGAACAACTCTAACGATTTTAGTTCGATTCTCCCATCAATATTTATTCAATGCACATATTTGGCTGTCGTCTAATTAAATATTTAAATGAACCAGTTATAAAGATTAAATATTTAAATGAACCAGTTATAAACGACATTATAATCGGAAAAAAAGTCAAATTGATTGATTCTGAAGTATTTTTATGTATATGTGTGTATATATATATAAATGAACAAGGTGAAATCATAGGCTTGATGGACCATATTGTGTCACAATCCAATTCATTATCAATGGGCATTATGGTTTTTGGCAGGCCCTATAAATAGTTTGTTGGTAAAGAACTCTTTGTACATGTAAAATTAATGAATATATATAGTAGCATTTTTTTCGGTAATTCCTAAAACAATGCAACTAACGGAATTCTCATCATTGTTTCTACGAATTGCTATAAAATTTCTAAAACTTTTTCCAAAATAACAAAATTTCATTATTAAGTGTTAAAATGACGTCGGATCGCGAAATCTGACGTGAATTACGAGCTACGATCATGAGTTTTGTTCGTCGAGCGGTCTTGCTTGACATAGGACTTTTAACGTGCTATACAAACTCAAAAAAAAATTAATAAACCTGAAAAAACGATCATTTTGCTAAAAAAAATGGAGTTAAAACATAATTATAATAGATCTCGCAATTCATCAAACAACGCAACTGACGGAATCCTCATCTGATTTTCTATTAATCGATATGAATTTACTAAAACTTTCCTAAAATGGCAAAATTACATTTTAAGTGTCAAAACGAGGTCGGATCACCGAAATCCGACAATGCTCATGAGTTTTGTTCGTCGGACCATTTTGTAAGGTTTATGACTTTTAACTTGCTATTCAAACTCAACATATCGTAATAAACATGGAAATACGATCATTTTGTACAAAAAAATCAAAAATGAGTTAAAATCTATTTCTAATAAATCTCGCAATTCAAGAAACCATGCAACTGACGGAATGCGCATCTGATATTTCTATGAATTGATATATATTTTCTAAAACTTTCCTAAAATAACAAAATTTCATTTTTAAGTGTCAAAACGGCGCTGGATTACCGAAATCTGACGTGATTCATGAGCTTTGGTCATGAGTTTTGTTCGTCGGGCCGTTTTGCTTGCGATAGGACTTTTATTTTGCTATTCAAACTCAAAAAAACCTTAATTAACCTTAAAAACGATCGATTTGCAGAAAAAAAAATCGAAAATGAGTTAAAGCATCATTCTAATACATCTCGCAATTCCTGAAATAACGCAACTGACGGAATTCTCATATGATGTTTCGTTGAATTGATATGAATTTTCTAAAACTTTCTTAAAATAGTAAAATTTCATTTTTAAGTGTCAGAATGACGTCGGATCACATAAATTTACGTGATTCATGAGAAAAGCTCATGAGTGTTGTTCGTCGGGCCGTGTTGCTTGAGATATGACTTTTAAGTTTTAACGTGCTATTCAAACTCATAAAACCTTAATAAACTTAGAAAAACGAACATTTTGCAGAAAAAAATCGAAAATGAGTAAAAACCTAATTTTAATAGATCTCGCAATTTCTGAAACCACGCAACTGATGGAATCCTCATCTGATGTTTCTATGAATTGATATGAATTTTCTAAAACTTTCCTGGAATAGCAAGATTTCATTTTTAAGTGTAAAACGACGTTGGATCACCAAAATCTGACGTGATTCATGAGCAATTCTGATGAGTTTTGTTTGTCGGACCGTTTTGCTTGGGATATGAGTTTTATCTTGCTATTCAAACACAGAAAACCTTAATAAACCTGGAAACACGATCATTTTGCAGCAAAAAATAAAAAAATGAGTTAAAACCTATTTCTAATAGATCTCGCAATTCCTGAAACAAAGCAACCGACGGAATCCTCATCTCATGTTTCTATTAATTGATATGAATTTGCTAAAACTTTCCTAAAATAGTAAAATTTTATTTTTAAGTGTGGAAACGACGTCGGATCGCCGAAATATGACGTGATTCATGAGTTTTGATTGTCGGGCCGTTAAGCTTGGGATATGTTTTTTAACGTGCTATTGAAATTCAAAAAACCTTAATAAACATGGAAAAACGATCATTTTGCATAAATGAGTTAAAACCTAATTCTAATAGATCTCGCAATTTGTGAAACAACGCAACTTCCTCATACGATGTTTCTATGAATTTATATATTTTTTCTTAAACTTTTCTAAAATATCAAAATTTCATTTTTGATGGTCGAAACGACGTCGGATCACTGAAATATGACGTGATTCAAGAGATATGCTCATGTGTTATGTTCATACTAAAAAAAAATTGAATACTTGGTGAAATTTAGGGTCAAAATGAGGTTAAATTTGGGCCTTTTTGCTTGGGTATGTGTCAAAATTGAATAATTTGTGAAATTGGGGATCAAAATGAGGTTAAATTGAACTAAATGATGAAATTGGAGCATATTAAATCATGAGGGGTATTTTTGTCTTTTATACACATCTGACCTTGTCTGGATTTTTTGTAAAATATTTTTTTGTGTGGACCCCTTTATGAATAAGTAGCCGATGATGAACTTACTTGTAATAGACCCTTAATTATTAATAAGAATTAGGGTAATTGACACTTTGCACCCTACAATTATGCTCATTTAGCAATTTGCACCCTTAAATTAAAAATATGATAGATTTCACCATCAAATTAAGATTTATTTGGCATAGTGCATCCCATAACTGAAAGGGTAAATTTGTGAATAAATTCACTATCAACCTTTTTAATTACAGAACATATTGGCAAATTACCAAAACTCCCCTGAGGTAAGCCTAAATAACGAAAATCCCCCCACGTTCTCGTAATTACGAAAACCCCCCTTGACTAACGGTTAACCAAATTTTTTTAACCGAAAACGTGAAATGTCTATTATATCCTTCTGTTAAATATGTGAAAATAAAAGAAAAAAGCTGAAAAAGAAATTATTAGTGTTATGGCCTTTGATCAGACCTCAATGCCCAAAAATTTACGCCCGTTAAATATAGTGAGAAATCTAAGCTTTTGAGGGTGGAGATTTTGCTGAGCTCCGGCGGGAGTTTTCCGGTGAGTTGGTTCTTGAAGAGGAAGAGCGATTCGAGTTTCGTGAGGTTGCTGAGTTGGTTAGGGATTTGGCCGGAGATATTTGCGTCGGCGATATCGAGGTACTGGAGGTCGCTCATATTACCGAATTGCCAAGGGATTTCGCCCTCGTAGGAGTTGTAGCTGATCTCCATGTGTGAGAGAAATCTCAGATTCCCCAGCTCCGGCGGTATTGCGCCGCCGAGGAAATTTCCGGCGAGGTGAATGAACTCGAGCGATTTGAACGAGCCGTACTCCGGCGGGATTGGACCGCTGAAGTAGCTTCCGGCGAAATTCAGCACTTTGAGAGACTCCACCTGAGAGACGTCGGCCGGTAGGTTTCCGGCGAAGCTGTTGCTGAACGCGTCGAGAACGACCAAACTCCGGAGCCGCGGAATCCCACTCGGAAAACCCCCGGAGAAATTGTTCCTACTGATGTCCAACGATTCCAGGTTAGTGAGGTTGAAAACACCGGCGGGAAGTTGGCCGGAAAACGAGTTATGACTCAGATTAAGATCGACGAGATCGGAAAACAAACCGAACTGCTTCCCGGATAACGAGCCGCCGAGATTCTTCATCGACGGGTCTAAACCGACGAATTTGGAGGAATTGGCACTGCACAGAATCCCGGTCCAAGAACACGCGTAGATTTTGCCGGCCGGTCGATCAGCTCCAGAAGCCGAAGAAATTACCCAGTCATTTAAACTACTGGGACTGTAAAAGAAAGATGATTTCATGAAGAGTATATATTTATGACCCCTCATTAAATAAAATGCTTACAATTACCCCCTAAGGGTAATTTCGTGTACAAGGGCAAAATTGGTATTATCGGAGGAATATTCGGGAGAATCAAAAAGATTCTATCGAGTTTAACACCGTTAGAGCGATTTGTAAGATGTCTGCATACCTCAGGGGGGTTTTCGTAATTACGAGAACGTGTGGGGGATTTTCGTTATTTAGGCTTACCTCAGGGGGTTTTGGTAATTTACCCTATATAATTAACAATAATTGACCATTTTGCCCATTGAATTATGGAAAATCATTTTTTTGGGACCCAAATTTTAGCAGAAAAATGTCTTGGGGTGTAATGTGCCAAGCAAATCTTAATTTGAGGGTGCTATCTACCATATTTTTAATTCAAGGGTTCAAAATGGCAAATAAACATAATTGGAGGGTGCAAAATGCAAATTACCCATAAGAATTATGACAAATAATTGCGTGGAAAGCACAAAAGATTAGGGAAAAAAGAAACGACGATCAATGGATGGGAGAACGAAGGAGAAGGAGAAAGACGGCGAGAGATGGACGGCGGCGATCGCCAATCTAACGGAAACCGCGTCGAATCTCGACTCCTTACAGAGGCTACTCATCAAAAAAGCCGTTTACGTTGACGGCGATACCTTCGCCAAAGCCTCCCTTAGCTCCGAGCAAGCTCGCACTATCAAGGTCACTCCAACTAGCAATTCTCTTCAAATTCAATTTAATGCACTTCAATTTTTTTTTTTTTGTCCATTGGCTGAATTGTACGATGTTTCATTGATTTGATCTGTGGTTTGCTGTTGCTTTTGAATTTCTGTGATTTTGATTGATGGGGGTCAAATAGCTCATTAATTCAATTTGAATTTCCAATCTGGGAAAACCTATATTTCATTTATGATTCTGTACTATGAATTTTACTTGATCCTGATTTAGGGAGGTACATTTTTTTCCAAATTTGTGTTCTGATAGATTGGGTTAATCGATATGGTGTTTACGGTTCTGGTGAAGTCGAATGTAAATCGGAGTTGGTTTTGTTGCATTGAAAGTTTATAATTCGTCTCTGTAATTACGGTGGCTCGTTGTTCGTGTTCACTTAGTATTGTCTGCTAATTGTGATTAGCACTGGTTAATGACTGTAGGTTCTAGAGCAGAGGGTGGAGACTTTAGAAAGAAAACTCGATAATGCCATATCTGCTGCTGCTCGTGCACGTACTGAAAAACGGCAGGCTGAGGGAGCGCAAAAGGCTGCTGAATTACGCGCTCTGGAAATTACAAAGGAATTAGAGAACACTACAAGTACGTTTATCTGATCTCCTCTCGTTCGTTTGTTTCTTATCGGTAGCTTAGTCAAATTATTGATGTGCGTTTTCCGTTCTTTGTTGATCTGGTAATTTTGTAACTCATTAACTTGAAAAAAATAGTAATTTAGAAATGGCTTATGTGGTTATATCTGTGTTTGGCACTCCGATATATCTGTATTTGCAATGGTAGAGCCAGCATGTATGGCCATGGGGGTCGTGACCCCCCCACTATCTTTCAAGAACCTAGTATTTAATTACAAAAAAAATGTTATATTTCGAATAATTTAGTATTGTTGGATCTCCTTGAAATTTGTTTAATTAATATTGGCCCCTGAAAAAGATGAATTCTCCGTCTTCCACACTGCCTGTTTGTCAAATGATTTCTTGCCCATCTATTCTCGAGTCTAAGGCTGTTGTCATTATCATAATTCCTATTTTGACCTCTGTAATCGACTAGTATGGGTGAAGCTCATTAAGTAACGAACTATACATGGACTTGTGTTGCTATATTGACAAATCCGGATCGTTCGGTTACGCAACCCCTCACTCTCTCCCCGAAAGAAAATGAACAAACAAATAAAAACCAATAAAAAACTGATAATTCTTGAACTAAACAAAAAATGACATTGATTACTAAATCATGTAGTAAGAAAAACAGTGGTCGTGTATACCAAGATACTTTTTATAATTGCACCAGTGAATTTTTCGTGCTTAAGTACTGCCAACATAGATTAATTTTTTTTTTTTTTTTTTTTGTGTGTGTGGTGTGTGCGCAGAAGTATTTGAGCTGCACATGGAAGAGTTGCGTGCAAAGCAAGAGGAGATTTTGAAACGGGATAAAGAGATAAAACTTCTCGAGGCTATAATACAGACACTTGGTGGCAGAGGATCACTTTCTCCACAAGGCTAAAAATCCATTCTCGTAAGTCTGTTCTGTACGAATCTTGCAAGAAAAGAACCCGAGCAGATAAATCCGTGTACATAAGAACCCCAACTTAATGTATGCATTCTTTGTATCACAAATTTTCGATCTTTTTGGCGCTTGTTCTTTAACCGTAGTTCAATGGAGAAACATGATCTTCGACTCTTTGTAACTGTCGCCTGTTGGTTAACTGGATCAGATCAGTAAAAATGAGTAACTCTCCTAAAATCACAGCAGTTGGTATTTTACTTCTCAGAGTATATTTGTGTAATTCGATTTCGACTGTGTATACTGTTGATCAAGGGAGTTTGCCGATGTTAGTAAAAATTACAGCTAAAAAATTCACCGAGTGCGATTTCTTAGGTGTGTTGCACGTTTCTCATTTCATTTTTCTTTTTTTGTTTCTTTTATTTTCGTATTTCATTTTATACTTCATATTTTTGTCACAATTTTTTTTATGCATATGTTGATTTAATCAAAATCACATCGGAGGCTCGTCCAAGTTCCAACCATAGTTTATCAGAATGACTATGGAGGATGTCGGATGACCATGGTTCCAGTTTCGTTGCAATGTCGCGGAAATTTTACGACTGCACCAAATACTTTAAAATCAAATACTACAATAATTTAGATGTTTTGAAGAATTTATTACTAATATACTAGGATGTTAAACACAATAATGTATATATATATAAAAAAAAAAGAAACCATCATATTATAATTCCAATCAAATATTTTGTCAATTTATTAAAAGTGTCGCTATTTTCCAAATGCAATCTATTTCCATCTTAAGTGGGCTAAATTAAATTATGGTAGCATAGTCAGGGCCCAGTTGGTAGATGTTGGGTCGAAAAATTGAAACCCGACTCGTATTTGGAACATAAAACCCGCACTGACCCGAATCTACAAATTATTTTACAGACCTCAAGAATAGTATTTATTATTGAAGGATAAATATCACTTGCCCACTCTGGTTTGAACTTTCAATATAAGCACATAATTTATTATATTTAAAAAAAAAATCATCTTCATTATTAGCATGATTATTTATTAAATGGAAATGTAGAATATCATAAGGGCTTATGTGCTTATATTAAAAGTATAAGGAGGTTATGTGCAAAAAATTCAAACTACAGGGGAGTAATATGCTTATATTGAAAATACAAGGGGTTATGTGCTTATATTAAAAGTACAAGGATGTTATGTGCGAAAAGTTCAAACTGCATGTGGGTAATATGCTTATATTGAAAATAGAAGGGGGTATGTGCATATAACTGAAACTACAGGGGAGTTAAATGCTATCATTTTTACGCTGAAAAAAAGGTCCAGGAATACAAACCCCTGCGCGCTCACTCCCAAACAAACACACACTCTGAAATCAAAGAATGGCAGAAAACAGCTTGAAGCGCTCCTTCGTCGAAGACGACGATTCCAGCAAACCCCCTCCGTAAGTTTCTCGATTCCCAATTTTATGCATACTATATTATATTATTATGTATACTTGTATGAAATGAATCGATTTGATAATTCGACGACAAATTTGATGCCCTTTTGTTAGGGCTTTCAATTCAGTTGTATGCTAATATACATATTGTTAATTAATCACGCTGCCAATGGAGGAAAACTTTGAGGAATTTGATTATGGAAATTGTTAAATTAAGAAATAAAATTTTAGCGAAGTAGGTCGGGTTTTTTTTTTTTTTTTTTGTGGCCTGTGTATGAGTATGCCTACATATGCAGGGAGAAAAGAGTGAGATTCCCCAAGGGTAAGAAGGTTCAGCAGGGAGACTACGTGAAAAATTCGTTGGGTGAAGATACTGCTATCAAGAAGAAGGCCCTTCTCGCTGCCAAAGATCGTGCGGTTCGACGGAGTAACATCACGCCAGAGCTTCTTGATGATGAATACAAAGATTTCGTACCCGACGTACGGAAAGCAGAAGTCCATTACAAGGTAAAGTCATCCCGATGCCCCGCCTATACGGTCTTTATACAGCTTCTGTTGTATGTCATGCGGTATTTTTTTGGTAATTAGATTTTCCTAAGGCTCGTGTGTTTCAGCTGAAAATTTGGTAGGTATGGACAGTTTATCCGGCTGTAAGTTGCTAGGACTTGCCAACTAAGTGACTAACATTTATGTTTGAGATATGATTTGCTAACTGAATTTTTTTTTTCTTTTCAATTTCTTCCATTCATTAATGTATTTTTTTCTTTCATTAATGACTTTTTTAATAGCTTAAAATTGAATTGGATTCCACGCTCAAATCGAGCTCCAGTTGGTGCCGGAGTTTGTCATATTGGGTTTTGGTTCTCTTCTGTTTAATGTTTGATTGGTTTTAAAAGATAAATAATGAGAAGTAAATTTTGGCAGGAAGACGAGACTTTTGTTGATGAAGGCACCCCAATGGAACCGTTTAATCTGGACAAAGAGAGAGAGGAGGGATACTTTGATGATGACGGAAATTATGTCGAGTACGTGAATCAGAATGAGATCAAGGTACTGTAGTGGAATTATGTATAATACGATTATCTGGTAAGTGCATTATTCTCACACGGAACACCTGCAGGATGCATGGCTTGATAGCGTGGATGTTCATCCAAAGTATACTGGAAAGAGCTCCATTCCTACGAATAATGATGACAAACCTCAGGACCTTGTGACCGAAGAACTTGCAGAAATTAATAGGCGGATTGCTGATGTTCTTGAGCCTGGAGAAACGGTGAGCTTTTAGTCATACATCATTTTCTTTTTCGATTGTGAATCCTGAAACCTCATTGGATACAAATATTTGTTTTCGCTCCTCCTTGACAAGACCAGGTAGCTAGGATGCTTTGATTTTCGCACGACACTTTTGTTAATGTACTTGCTTTTTAAGGAAATAGGGCAATTTCTGAAACATTGGGTTTTTACAAGTGTATTGGACGTTAGATGCAAATCATATTTGGCTGATACAGTTTCACATTTTAAGAAAACATTCATATAACTTGCAATTGAATGGCAGTGCAAAAAGTATATTGAATCCTTTTTTTATAATATTTATCTATGTGCGTACTTGTTTACTTTTCTTGCATCTTATAGCAGTTCCTCTTTTTCAAGAGCAGAAGGACCATAAAAACTATTATTCATAGGTTTATTACATAAATAACTTTATTACACATTTATTGTTTGTTTTGTACTTTTAAATTATGAAAGCTGGACTTGTTCTTGAACTTGAATTTCCCTTATTTCATTAGTTTCTTAAAATTCTTCATGAGTCTTATTGGCATTTATCTTGACAGGTTTTGCGAGCTTTGAGAAGACTAAAAGGTTCAACTGATAAGAAGCAGAAGATGTCTGAAGTAACAAAACAGCTGTTTGACAAGCTTACTGAAGATGCTATGAAATTGATGGAGAATGGAGATTATGGTAAGTTTGTCTATTATGTTTTTGTTAGAGAATATGACAAGCAATACATATTTCTAGATATTTACTCTTATATTTATATATACGAACCTTTTTTGTCTTACAGATGTGTATGAAGAAAAGCAAGAACATTTTAAGCGTGAAGCAGGTTAGTACTGTATTAAATAATTTTCATCCACATTCTTGATTAGACTTATGTTGATGATAATATGCCGTATTGGTTTTATTAGTCCATTTCAGTGTCCATTTGTTTTTACGATAACATTTCCGTATAGGGGGGCATTCTGTTATTTTGATGTATCCACTTGGGAAATTCGAGTTTATGTTCATTATCACGTGGCTCACACTCTCCCATTTCAATTTTTTATTGTACCCTCTTGTCGTGCGTTCAATATGAGCAATGTTATATTATGAATCTCTTTTAATCCGCAGAGGGTTATGAGAAGGTAGTTCAGACAAGGAAGCATGGTCTCTCAGAAAGTTTGAGTCAGGAGAAGTCCGATGACATGTTTGACATGTTTGGAGACGATGGTGGAAGTGCTGCTGAGAATCCCGCCTCTAGTGGGAGTGGATCAGTTCCTGTTCAGCCCTCTGAGAGTACGATTACATTCAGTTCTTGAAAAAATTGGTATAGAGAAACATCAAACTATATTTGGTAACTCAAAATATCTTATGTGGGATTTTGCAGGTGGAGACATGCAGAGCGACTATGTATATGACGAGTCTTCTGGGTATGCCTTCATACTTTAACTGTGTTCGGTTCTGTAAAAACTGTATTCAAAATCTTTAGTTACTTATTTCATTGCAAAAAATCTGGGCCAATACGTTCTGTCTCTGGGTAGACCTTTTTTGTCACTAAATTTTTTGGTCAACGTCTTTAGTTACCGCATATAGGTGCAAATGTTGCATGCTTTGACGATTAGCTAACATCAGTTTTTGCATCATGAAAACTCACAATTATCTAAGCGGTGAAATTAAGTCTCGGTGAATCTGCCACTCATTTTATAGCTGAATTATTTTTTTATACCAACTTCAGACTTATGGCTTCATATTGCATGGAATGTTGGAAGATTTTTGTGTTGATATCCTGTCTTATTTCTCTCGTCTTTTTTTTTTTGCCAGATATTACTACAGTAGCAGTTTGGGTTATTACTATGATCCTTCTTCTGGGCTGTACTGCTCTGCATCGTCAGGGAAATGGTAAAGTAGCCACGACGTGTTATTTTCTGGTGTTTATTATTATACTTTTTTTAGAAACGCACTTCATTCATCTGCGCACTACCTTTGTAAGATGGATTAATTGCAGGATGAGTTTCCTATTGTAACCATTGTCACAATATTTGTCCATTAGCTCATCGGTAGAAACACGATGTAAGTCAATTTGGTCAATGCCTTATATATGTGACTTTGCCTTTTCTGTGTAGGTATTCTTATAACGAAGAATCAGGGACGTATGATGAGGTCCAACAAGAAGCCAACGTGGCTGCGGTGAGCTGATGAGAGAGATTTGTGCTGCTCTTCACTAAGTAACCGATACACGACTATGTAAATAATTCGATTTGCTTTGGTCAAAATTGCAAATGCGGTAAATTTTTCGAAATGATTTCACTTCTTTTCTGTGTGTACAAGAACCCATTAAATCGTGTCTTTGCCCATTTCACGCTTGCTTCCGTATGGGAAATATGAGTTTACGCAAATAGATTTCATGATGAGAAATTTAAGCCTCCACGAAAATGGAGATTACAGTTCCAGAAAACTCGACAGGACACGATTTGATGAGATCGATAAACTATATTATACCATACCCCCTTTGAAGAAAATTTGCTCGTTTATTTTATTTTATATCCCTCGTGTTTTTTTGTCATTGTACGAAACTCCCTTCTGCCCAATCCATTACAGCACAGCCCTTGTGTTGTATTTTTCTTTGTACGAAATCTAGCTTCTGTCCGATCCATTACAGCATGCGTATCTTACTCAACAAATGTGCAACTGAGCTTTTGCAGTTTTATGTTTCATTTTTCTTTACGCAAAACCCCCTTCTCGTATCGAATCTGTTATGCATCTAATTATAACGGAGAAGAGGCATATGCGCAAAGAAAGCACAACTTTAGTCGAAGAAACCTAATCACATGTTTTTCGTTAAAAAAAAAATTATTCAGTGATTTTAAATTTATTATTATAGTTTTTATGTTAAGGGAGGTGTTTGTAATATTTCTGAAATATGAGAGATCTATATGGAATTAGATCTGATTTTAGGGGAGGACAATGTAAATTACCCAATACTTGGTCAAGGGTGAAAATGAAATTTCAAAAAAATCAATACTTTTAAATGGGCCAAATGTTCGCTAATATCAAACCTTGTAAGGGATGTACGCATAACTTTTAAAAATTGAGGGATCTAGATGTAATTACGTTTAATCTCAGGGAGGTATGTGTAATTTACCAATCTGATCACGAAAGATAGAAACGTATGCGGTATGCCAGCTGTATTCGATTCACTCTCTCTCGCTCGCGGCTCGAGCCTTTTGCTGCTCCTAATCTAAGTTCGTTACATTTATTTCTCTCTCTTCTCTCTCTCTCACACACAGACACACACACAAACACACACTGTATCAGAACAATCAGTTGAAGGGGTATGTATATTGTGTGCTGCAGAAATCTAATTCAATAAAAAACGTAGCGTATTGATTTGGGAACAAATTAAATACGTGCATATATTGCTATAATTCGATGTATACGTACACCTAGAATATACGCGTACGTATATATATATATAGAGGGATGACGGAGGAGGGATCGGAGAGGGAGAAGAGGGGGTTATCTTCGATGGACTCGATGGAGTCGCGCTGGGTGTATCAAGACGAGGAGGGCTCGGAGATCGACAACGACGGCGACGGCCGTGGCAGCGGCGGAGAGGAATCCCCGCTGCGCGATTCCGACGACGAGGATAATGCGGAGCAGAGGTTGATCCGGACCGGGCCTCGGATTGATTCGTTTGATGTTGAAGCCCTCGAAGTTCCCGGTGCCCAGAGAAATGATTTTGAGGTGAGTTGATTTTAGGTTAATTTTTTTCTGTCTACAAGTTTACAAACGTTTCTTTCCTCTGCAAGTTCATTTGTTTTTTTTGTTAATTCGTGTTGCTTTTTATTTCCCTATAAATATGTACAAATCCACAAGTAAGTCCTCCGGCTAAGCATCCTTTCAGTGTTACTGATCTCGCGTCGTGACTACGTATAAGAACAATATCATGAACATAGACAATAAAAAAATGCAACTTTATCACCTTCAGAATGCTTCAACTTCAAGTATGATCTGTTTGAGTGTGAATACATTTATTTCTTTGTTAAGCTTGTAAAATTCTCAAACCAAGCTCAAGGATACTGTTTTATATCATGCAAAAACTTCTAAGGATGATACACTTTTCGTCCAAAACAATCTTTAAAACCAGGTTGGGCCGTCATATAAGTCATTTGATTCGTGATTTCCATTGACAAATGCATAGTTTACGTCTAATTCACACTGTGGCCAATTATGACTAATTGCAATAGATAAGAGAACCCGGAACTGTACTCAACTTACTTTGCTACATGAGATAAACTTTTAACCACCAACACCTTATGGCGCTCCAAAGACCCACCAGACTTATATTTAAGTTCAATTCAAAACCCACTTACATCCAACAGGAGTCATCCCTTTTGGCAAGTCCATCACCTTCCATGTTACATTGAGTAAGAGACATCTAGAATTGGATTTTTGGTACAAGATCTATCACCTTCCATGTTACATTGAGTAATAGACATCTAGAATTGGATTTTTGGTACAAGATCTATCACCTTTTCTAAGAGCTATTGGAAGATCGAAGGACTCAATTTAATCAAGTTTAGAAGTACTGAACTCAATACCTACGGTTTTTTGAATTAAGTGGGCTAGACATAGGACATGAATATATATATATATATATATATATATATATATATATATATATATATATATC